GCACCTTACTGGTGTGACGGCGTTGACTGCTTTTGCCATAAGAATGGTGCATTTTCACTCTGAATACTCTGCGGGGTCTTAGCCTAGATCGCGGCCCGGACCACAACGTCAACCCGATCCCATGGACGGCTAGTCTGGCCGACTACTGGGCTCTGCGAGGCCCCCCTTCACCTAAATCTGGGTAGCACTTGCGGCCATCTTGTCTGTTATGTTGCTTTGTGTATCCGATATGGTGTTGTAATATTTTCCGGGCGTATGCTTGATCTAACAGATAAGACGTCTGATAGACACAGCCTGGTAATTGAAACGCTCCACCCGCTCGCCTTCCTCAAGATACTGATGCTGCGGGTTCCTCTCCTTAAAATCCAAAGGCCACTAACAATATATGGTGACCGCGACCTCTGGTGGCCTACTGAGATGCTTACGGCTAACGCAATGCTGTTGAAGAGTTTCATGCCTGCTTGGTACGGCTTGACGTTAGGTCCCCAAGAGTTGTATGCTACTCTCGCCTGTTATGCTTGCAAGGACGCTCGGCAGCTTCAAGCTATTGTACTTTAACGAAACAGACTACGTCGTCCGGGGCAGGCTTGGCGTACGCGGAGCCGAGAGTGTGGCGGAAGACTTGAGGGCGTATTCAATGCGCAGGTAGAAGAACGACCTCAGCCTCCCATGACTCCATACATATCGACACAGTCTCAAAATGCTTCGCCAGCGTCTTATATCCCCCACATCGCCTATCGCCTACGTGACTTGGAATGGCGCCTTAGCCTTCTGATAGTGACGGTCGAATATCTTATGCACCGAATAGGCGCTGAGGAGAGTTTGTTAAGATCGGCTTTGAGCCCTGCCCATGTGATGCCAAATGATACCGGCGATGATCTTAGGGAAATAGCCTAGGCAGATTTCCGGGTCACTTTTAATAGGATACTAGCGGGGTCTTAACTAAGGTGATTACTAGGGTAATCGCCGATACGTTGGGATACAGACTCGTTTCACACATTTAATTTATACTTACAAATCGCAGGTTATGACCGGCGCAGACGGGTTTGGGTATATCTGATGAATGGGCTGCACCAGATCATCTAATTAGCTTTATAGACTGACGAGGTAACCGGCCGTCCTGGAGGCGTACTTAGGCGCATTATATGTCTTCTCTTCCAACCCTCTTAGTCCTCGCCAGAAATAAACAAGAAATCCCCTCTACGATATCTTACTTGGCGCTCTTACTGTCGCTAACCTGATGACTTCAATTATAAGCTAGCAAGCAATAGAAGCCACAGCTCTACATCACCACCACTGAATATGTTAAATAGAATCTCTGTGGAAGCCTATTACGCTTTTTACTGTAACTATTTCTGCTTCCAGAGCAATTACTAGAGGTTCTAGGAAGGTCTGGGTTGAGCGAATTTGTCTAGACCCCTTTATTTCACATCCTCAACTCATTTTCACCATAACACAGCATCGTGACATCCACTTACCCAACTATAACAATCAACCCCACAGTCCTCCAACTATTATCTTACCCTTCTTTTCATCATTAACTGCATCAACTGATCTTAAGATATCCCGAGAATTGACCTAGAGCGCTACTTCCAGTACGCTCACAGTCGTATTTACGCAGAACCACCAAGACTATACTCAAGTTTATAATACCTAGGTATTAGGTCTACAATTACCCGAACCGAACCATATCGTCACAAGAGAACACAAGGTCATTATGTCTATCGAATCTCCTTAGACCCCAGCTGAGTTGATTAATATGTCGCTGATCTCACGGACAGACTCATTAAGGCAGCCAGGGGCACCACCAAGCTGCCCAAGAAGCGCACAACTACAAACCCGAAGGAAACATCTTTCCACAAGAAATACGAGGAAAACGCTCAATTCTTTCGCGAGAGACCACTGGGGTAACACTGGCCAAAGCCAACACAGCCCCTTGAGAACCTACGCACCGAAGAGGAGGGGCAGTGGCCCAGCTCGAAGAGGATGGTACCTGGGAGTCTACACACCTTAGAGGTGACTAATTATCGGTGGGGCCTTCTGAAGAATAAATAAAATTCCTGGATGAAGAGAGATACTTTGGAAATAATGGCGCCCGGTCTGTGTAACCTCCAAGGTGCCCTCGTCGCTCGAACCTCGCACTCAGGAGACGACATTCATGTCCTTCTGTTGTTTGGGTAAATGCCCGAACCTGTCTTTTTCCCGGTCCATGAGGGAACTGATTGCAGAGAACAAGAAGACCAAGCAAGCGTCTGGGGCTATGAGGGGTCCTTCAACAACAGTACCTTCTGTATTCCCTGCTAAGAAAGTATCTATACAAACTATTTTTTCTGCTTGGTAGTCGATCAGAATAACAGCACCCCCTACTTCTATGACGATCAATTAGTTGATAAGAAGGCAGAGGATCCCCTTAAGAAACTCGTAAAAATAGTTGAAACTCTCTACGGAGAAGCATCGCCAAAGGCTGCCGAACTGGTATTACAAAAGATTATTATCATCGATTGCCCGCAAGTAGCGAACTTCTGGATGTCTGGCGTCAACTACGTAGATTGGTTCCGACAAGTTACTCATAACGGAAATCTTAATATCGTCAAACATGTAAACAAACTCTGGCCTCTATATGTATTATTCGCGTTACGGATGAATTCTGTGTTGTCCCGATTGAGTGTCATAGAAATCGTATCCGCTTAGGACAGTCTTTACGAATGAGGAAGACTTGAACAATTTGTTTCAACATAAAGGACCGGAAGAGATCGAAGGGCGTACGAGGCGTCTCGAGAGACACGTACCACAACCAGTCCCGGGCAGTACTCGCCTCATCTAATGAAGGGCTACATTGGGGGGTAGTCTTCTTCTATTAATTCTCTGCAAGAACCCGATCTAATGAACTAGGATTGGAATCCACAGACCCAAACCGGGCCTTCAGAGGGATTAAACCCCCCAGCGTTAGACAAAGTGCACCGAAACAGTACTTGGTGTAGCGACTCTCCCTCATCCCAAGCATTGAAGCCGCCGGCCAGTGGCGGCAACCAGCCTATCTGAAGTATTGGAAGAAGAGAGGCCAGTCACTAGGATCATCGATATACCTATGCCCTTTAAGTCACTCAACCCAACAAATTTTACTTGCAGATAAGAGCTCGGAGGTCATCACCCACAGACCTGAGGGGACACCAAAAATTGGCGAAGAACACGGGGTCTCTGCCCCTGAATGGCTTATACCATCAAGAGACGAGTCGTATGCTGAACTACAGTAAAAGTATGCCAATGAGTTCGACAAAGACGGAAACTTGGAAGACTGGTTGGTACCCGCTTACTGACAGAAGGAAACTCTCTTATCTTTATAACAAGCAAGTTACTATCTTTCGAAAAGATTACCTTGAAAATGATGAGATCGGCGCGCTCGTAGTACTAGTAATGTAGGTACTACCATCAACACTTTTATCCCGGAAGACCTTCTTGCATTGTGGGCAACGTGACCCCCAGGCTAGGGAATAAGTGCCTAAAAGATGAATCAATTCGACTTGGGATATCTCTACGATACTGGCCTTGTGGTTCTCCCCACTGAACTACTATGCAAACAATTGGGCGGTCCTGATGATCGAACAAACCACTGGGTGATCGTACTTCTCTAACTCTGCGTGGATTGACAAGTGCAACGTGCGGTGGCCAATATGGACGAGTGATACCGGCCTCTGCGGCCCTTTTCCTGACCTGTTACGAATCCTGCGGTGTCAAGCAATAGTAGTGAATGCAGTTCAATAGGAGAACCATCATACGGGCGGGCTTGAAATGGCTTCGAATTGTTGAATGGGTGAGAGTCTCCGCACACGAGGGAGTCCTCAGCCCAAGCCACACTTCTTCGTGGGTCAAGGGCCAAAAGAAACGGATGGGAGGCCACGACTCGCTTCATGTTGCTACCTTTGTAGATGTACCTCGTTGTTGATCCCAGAATTCTGCAACCTAGCTACAATATACGGGACGCCCCCTCTTTGGACTCTCATAATCTCAAAGTCTGATTTTGAGAAGCAAGTGACGGAAACCTACGTAGCCCGGAGGGCTGTACGAAAAACTCCGCTCCCTCTGCCCCCGGTGCAGACCACCGACCCAGATGAGACGCTGATACCACCTACTGGCCACCGACTTTTACTAAGTATCTCGAAGGACTCTTTTCCTCCGTCAAACCTTCCTGGGGAAACAGAGATCATACTCAGCCAGAATGTCCGTCAAAAGTCTCCAAAGTTCTATCGGTCGGAGTCAGTCCAATAACCTAGTATTGGGTCGAGATTCACACACATCATCCCCGTGTAGCGTCTATAGTTTCATAGATGTCCATAGAATACCCACCAGCTTTACCCAGCGGACCGAATTACTCCTCACGCCCACCAAGCGATGTCACAAAGTTTCACGCTAGTGGTGTGTGTCCGCAGTAGCAGGATTTTAATAGTATGATGTTGTAATAGAGAATTTTTTCTTCTAGAAATACTTTTACAACAAACAAATAAAGTAAGAATTAATAGTAAGAAGAGCACTGGATACCTAGATAATATAGAAGGGAGTAAGCCGGATTCTGCTCTAGGTAGTATAAGAAAATTGTGAAAATGAATAGAGCTTGCTAGGTTGAAGCTCAGGTATATAATGGATGAAATTTAGTTCGGATACTGCTATATTAGTCTCCTTGGGTGGAATTTATTAATGATGTTGCGTCTATATATTATCATTAGGGCTCAGATATCACAGAGAGAAGCAGGAGACAGAGTTGGGATGAGCTTATTAGGGAAGAGGGAAGATCCATAGTACTTTATTAGGAATTAGTTGGATCTTTTGCATCGCCCTTATATTCTCATCCTTTTCAATACTCCTCTTCATCTCTGTGATTAATTATGCGCCGCCACTACTAAAACTTTCAAGAGTAGAGAGGCTTAACTAAAACTTAAGTAAAGCATCAAAGCCTGCTAGGGCAGGACAGAGCATAACCAAAAAAAGTGTATATGGTAAGAATATTACTGGGCCGTATCATCGCGCAGAGCATCCTCATCGAGCATGTTCTCGACCCACAAGCTGACTGGCCTCATTGATTGCGTCGCCGCGCGGACAGTCTCCACCCAGAGGCTATTGCCCGTGGGCTCCGGCATTGCCTGGACCAGGCGGACGATCTCGCGCCATCGTTCGAGCTCCTCGCGCACCACGGGGCGGGCCTCGGCCGGCAGCACTAGAGGGCCCTGCGGGGGGGTCCGGAAATCGGCAGGGGAGCTGACGGCTCCGGAGGGGAGAGGCTCGGCCCGTATGGGGGTCCGAGGGGTGTCTAGGAGGGGAGAGAAAGAAGGGATAGAAGGGGACTGAGGGCGGCTGGGAGGAAAGGGGGCGTCGTCGAGAAAAGAACAGTCACAACCGGGAGTCGACTCGCGGCGGCCAGAGTCGGGGTCCTCATCTTCCTCCTCCTGCTGTTGCTTTTGCTGCTGTTGTTGCTCCTGATGCCGTTGCTGGGCCTTGGGAGGCGGCACGGATTCTTCGTCCTCTTCATCACCCTCCACAGCTTGGTTGAGGCGGCGGCGTCTGGGTGCGATGGGGGAGGCGGGGCCACCAGCAGACTTCCTCTTGTGAGAGGTCGGAGGGAAGAGGGAGCCATCGTGGGAGGGGACCGAGGGGGCGCGAAAACCGTCTTCTTGCTGCTCTTCTTCTCCTCCTCCTTCTTCTTCTGGGCCTTGCTGCTGAGCCTGCTGCTGGGCATGGTACTGTGCTGCAGCTAGGGCAACGCCGACTTGTGGTGCTGGCGTAGGAGTGGCAGAGGCGGAGGCGGAGGCAGCGCGGGGTCGGAGCCCTGTCATTGTGATTAATCAGTATAAGAGAACCTACAAACCAGCTCTAATATGAACAAGTTCGTTATAGATAGTGGGTAATTGAATAGGTATAGTGAAGAGTGTAGTGATTTAACTTACGGAGGGCAGCACGGTTGACGTCAATGGGGAGGACGGAGGGCGGATTTACAGCATCGTGGTGCCTCTCTAGCATCTCGGCACGGACAGCGCGAAACACAGCGACGGGATGGAAGCGGAGGGCGGCGGTTTCACGGGGGTTGAGGAGGCTGTTGAGGGTGCGGAGAGCGGGAGTGCTGCGGAGGACTTCGGGGCCGAGTTCGAACATGATGTCGTCCTCGCTAAAGTTTCCAACATTACCCCTGAGGGCATTGTATCTGCGCTTGACCTCGGCACCAGCATCGTCGCGCATACTGGTCCGGTGTCCTTGAAACACAACAAAAAGGGCAAAGGCCAACTCATCAGGTGCCAACTGTCGGCGCAGGAATGGTACGAAGTCCCGGGGGTCATCCTCGGTACCAAGAGTTGGTGGCTTCCACCCCGGCTGACCAGACTGCGAAGCATGCATACGCCATCCATGGGTGTAGTGGGTGCGATGCAGGGTTGTCCAAAGGTCTGGAATACGTCCCGGCGCGAGCTGCTGTTGGGCATGTAGGTGGTAAGCTTGGCGAATCTGGCTTAGACAGTGGGAGACATCGGCATTGGCCTCAATGCGTATTCTAGGAGCGGCGGCCATTTAGGGGTGCGATGCGATGCGATGCAGCAGCGGTGGGAAGATAGAGGCACAAGTATCAACAGTATCTTCAAGACAAAAAGCCAAACGAGCGACAGAGCGAGGGATGGGGTGGGGGATGATGTTTGCAAGATTCGGCATCAAAATAGTTACAGGTCAGAAAGTCACAGGTTAGAAAAATAGTATCATAGTAAGGCAGGTAAACTCTAGATAATACTGCCTTTAGTTAATAAGTCTAGTATCTTAAGGGAAGGAAATCAGAATAATAGTAATACGTAGCTGCAATTCTGACCAGATATAAGAAATATTACGGTAGCCAGACCAGGGTTACCTTCTTAGGCGCCGCTAGTCTCGTTAGATTGTGTATATGACTCCCATCTCAAGGAACTGGTCAGAGGGCTTCCCCTACCGCTTCTGACCATCTGATGTTGTCTCCCCTTAAGTACACCCCACCCTACCTTCACACCCCAGGCATTCCAGAAAGATAAGCTTAACAAGGACCCCACTGATACTTCAGCACCATCCAATGCTGTTTTACAAACTCCGGGTAACAGTGGGCCTTTTCTGCGCTAACATCTAGCCCATGCTTGAGAAGATGGGCCCCTATCACATTTCCACATGGTCACCGCGTGGCAATCGCGGAGCCTCTTAGCACCTGCTCCAGGGTCTCTCCACGTCACATTTATCTGGCGATTCTACTCAAAATTGATTCTTCTTTCCCGCCTCCACCAGAACAACATTTTGACAATTCAATTCAAGCAACCAACCAGCCAAGACCACATCTTCCAGACTACTCATCGCGCACCGATTACAACCTGCCAAAAACACATCTCCAAGAGTTTATCACACACCAACCGCAACCCTTCAAAAGCAAAGTACATCCTCCCGACTGTCCATCGCGCACCAATTTACAACCCGTCAATCATCGGATCAGCTAAGCGAACGAACTTCAGTTGCAATGGATTCTAGTAGGAAACCCTTCCAATCTCTTGCGACACCATAAACGAGACGCAGACTAACCTTCTACCCCCTTACAGCCCCAGATACAAAATCTAATTTGCTCGACATTCCACCTCCCACAGACCCGATCACAGACATTCGAAGCCTCTTACCCGAACTCAAAGCGCTCCTGAGCACCGCAACAAATGCCAAAGACGACGCCATTCTCGAGATTTGGCTACAGCTCTGTCGAACGATGGCCTTTTTCGGGCCCTCTGTAGACCGGTTTAGTCAAACCCCAATCGGAGCGGCATTGCGAACAGTTGCCAGCGCTGCCGAAACCGTCGTAGTAATTACCCATCGCTCCGATGGTTTGGCTCGTGACGAGACCGATGAACAGCCAAAGATGTCGCGACAAGGAATATAACAGTTGAACGCGCAATAAACGATGGGGAAAACACTTGGAGGATGCAAGGTCGCTGTCTCATGCGACGCGTCGCAGCTTTGCCTTTGGGCTTAAAAACGCAAAAGAACGGTCATTAACACTACTGACGGAGTTCAAGGGGAGACGGCTTGGTGCATGTTATTGACCGGTAGTATTGGCATTACTAGGCAGGACATAGAGAGCAGTAGACGACCCAGCAATCTTGCGAGTTGTCTGATGACCAAGTTTATGCAATTGACAGCTGATTCTTAACCAAACTTGATAGAAATGCCACGCAGAGCTGAAATGCGGGCGAGGTATCTTGCAATCATTAGACCAGCCCATTGACAGCACTCATGATGATGTGGATCCACTGTGTCTTGCAGTCCAAGACTTTATTTAGCCTTGACCATTGCCCAGCTGAGCTAGTGCAGCTCAGAGCCAGATTACTGCCTGGTGTGAAAGGTCAGATTTCTATATAAGGTCAGAATTATGAATTATGTACAGGTCAGAAAATTAGGCGTGTGAATTCTGACCTTTGGGTCAAGGTCCCACTTAAAACCACCGCTGACCCACCTTACTGCCCAGCTGAGTCACCAGAACCCGGACCCAGGTTCCTGCCCACTGCCCAGCTGATTTGCTAGAACCCAGACCTAACAATTTCTTTTCTACCCTCTAGTATGCTAAAATTCCTTTGCAAGTATTTGTCTCTTGAAAGCAGAAGGCATTGCATATCGCCTTACCTTTCTAGGAATCTCTTTCGCCTTTCTTCTCAAAGACATCTGATCAATTGGCCTTCAGGCAATTGTGGGCATGTAACTCTGGCTATCGGAACAAAACCCGGTGTCTTCTGGACCTCCGCCGAAATAGAGAGTGCTGCTGCTGACAGCAATCGATTTGAATAGCATTCTATCGTTTAGATTGAATGCTTACCTTTTGAAATGCAAGCACAAACCAATGACGGCAAACTAGGACAAGAGCATCGACCCAAAGTCTAGGTGCATGCGTATAAACCTGTTCGTCAACTTGGTTGTTTAAAAGAGTTGTCTCATCTGCAGCACCGCCAATTCTCTAGCTGCCTGTCTTGTCGATCTCGAAAGGAGGAGCCCGAGAAACCTGGGATGCTTCGTTTGGTACGAGATACGCTTACAGTCCACTTCCAGCAGACGGCATCCGACCAGTGGTGCTATTTACCCGATGGGAGATGGCGGGAAATGACAGCCGTGTCACTACGTTTGTCCCACAAGGGTTTCTGCGATGTCTGTCTCAGCATATATCGCCGCGGTAGTCGTGTATTGTCGTTGATGGAACTACCTCACTAGGCTCTATGACCTCCAGATGGTGCGTATCGTTCCTCAGTCGGACGCGAACCAGTAAACGACATTGGCCCCAAGTGTCCAGTTTCTCAATTCTTTATACAGCTAAATAAGCAGCGGAAATGGCGATGGAGCAGCCAGTAAAGCTCTCCACATCCGTTCGCATATGTTCTACTTCTCGCTTCTCAATCGGTTATATCCAGTCAGAGCACGACCGGCAAGGATGGTGAGCTAACTCTAATACTATATTTTTATCCAAAAATTAAGTCGCTACGTCAATATGCTGTTGTATGTTACTATTTCAAGACATCGTGGTGCTCGAAATCACACTCAAAAGCGAATAAACAATAATTTACGCTCGCCAGTAGTTGTGGCGGAGCAGATAGCACCCTATAAGCAAGCCTGGATATCAATGCAACAGCAGAGATCAACACGTGCTTGCAGGGTTGTGAGAGGATGCCCCATTCTACGTCACCTACGCACCCACCCGCCCCTTTGTGCCTTTGATGCTGTACAGCTTCGCAGACTGCATCCTTGCTTCAAAGAACAGTTCCTGCGACGCCATAGACGATCCTTTGAGCTTGTCATATAGTCAAAAACTTATTTTCTATCGAAAACGACACGCAATGGCAACGTGCCTCCGCTTAGAAGCTGCTGTCCCCGGTTCTTGCTCGGTTTCGGGGACGATCCAACACTAAGAGGAGGACAAAATGAAGCAGGATCCCGCGATCAGCAGATGCCCTATCGATAAGGCGAGATGGGTCGTTTGGCAGTAAGACTGGTGCATCTTGTCATTCGGCTTTTCTGTTCGCATGGGACGCCAACCGGATTGACATCGCCATTCGCGTTCGTCTCCATTATTGGCCCCCATCATACGACGAGGACGCTCGACATGGAGCAGGAGGCGGATTTGATCGGACTCTATTCCCAGATCTCGAATTGGTTGTCGCCCTCAACCCGTGACAGTGGAACCCGTTCGACGACGCACTCCAGGGCGAGTATCCATATAGAAATCGAACCGAAGTAGTCAGCCTTCGGCAAGAGGAGTCTCATCGAAGGACTAATGTTACTCTTCGCTGAATACTTATCCGATGCTGAAATAAAGTGAAAGATTTATCGTGAAGGCTCCGTTAGCCAAGCAAAAGCGGGACGACGTTGTGGAGGCATATGAGAATCGCTTCGGCACATCGCGCTCCTCATTATGCGACGCCTTAAACTTAAGATGAGCCGCCTCAAGAACAAGCATAGTGCCGGCTTTATTTACTCCAAATGTTAAGTAAAAGGCACAGTGAGTTCATGTATGTAGATCCACCCGCGGCCATTAAGGAAAGACAGAAGAATACTATCTTAAAAGTGAGTCGTTGTCTCCCCGAAGCACTCTAAGAAACAACTGCGTATTCGACAGCTTAGTATTCAGTGTTCAAGTGATTGTCGTCAAAACGATCGAGCGCCAAAGAAATTTTGAGACATGCAACTCATTTCTAAGGCTAGATCCGTCTCCCGCAGAGACCCTCAAGTGAGATGGCTGTGAGGTTCAACCAGGACGGGAAAATGTAGGCTCCAGTCTAACAACTTCCTTGGAAGATTGAAGGGTAACGAGATGCTGATCGGTAATAACATGACCATATCGATAGTTTGAAAACGCCGCATAAGTGTTAGCCTGAGAAACAGTCAGTATCTATTTACAACTGTGCATCTCGCTACACGATTATTCTATCTCAGGTTGCCATTTTACTAAGAAATTAGTATATCCGGAGAGAGTATTGTTATACTTGGCTTCTAATACTTCGTTCTCTGCAATTAGGCCACAGTCTGGTTAACTACTTCCGTGATACTAGCTACTATGAGTGAGATAGATAACATGGGGATCGAATCGTAGAGCCGCAGTACGATATACTGCTGGTTGACGATTAGAAAGACGAAGTTTTGCAACAAGTAGTTGAAGCTGAGTTCGTCCCGTATGTCGTAGTCAAGTTGGATCCTAGGTTAATAACCGGAGGGTTTCTCCATGTTGCTGATAGAGGCTGCTGAAAGATTCATATCGACATGAGAGTGTCAAAGATGAAGTCATTCGATAGTCGTAAAGTAGTAACGCCTATCTAGTTTTGACCTGGCTGATGGATAGCATACCGCCGTGCGCCCAGAAGAATTTCTGTTCCGTGCCCCCTTCCTCTTCCCCGCTACTTAGACAGCTGTGGTCGTTCGCTCCGAGGGTACCAGCCATGCTTCTATCTCCGCCGCCCATGATACCGCCGACGCGGCGGGTCTCGATCTCCTTGAGCATGGCCTTAGGTAAGGGTTGCGTAAATTCCCACATTTGCTGGAAGCGGGGGTGACTAGGTACGCGCTGGGCAGCGAAGCCAATATCCAAGAGACGGACGACCCACGGGGTGTGGAAAGCGTTGGACTCGGTCGACAATCTCATGAGGAGGTTGAAGTGGATGCGGGGTGTTTAAATCGGGCTCATGTGCGCAGTGTATGACTTCGGAAGAGAAATGCCCTGAGAGGCCAGAACGTGCTAGCCCCAGGCCAATATCGTCCAGAAAGAACGGGCGAGTTACAAATTGAATAGAATACTTTGGAGGGCTGAATCCAACAGCCAAGACTGTGTGGACAGGGTGGTAAGCAAATCTGCCCGTTCAATAAACAGAAAATGCCATTTGCATTAATATACAGTTTTGGGGATGACGTTGCCCCAGAAAGCAATCGATATTGGGCTATTTGGAAAGATTATCACAACTCTGCATTGCGCCAAATTCTACATGATGCAGTGGAGCACGCCAGGGAGGTCATGTCCCTCAATCCCAAGCCAAAAGCTCATCAATATGCCCTCAACAATCTGCAACATTTCTCAGATGAAGGCCGCCGTTGTGAAAAGTTAAAGAGGCTGAGTAACGCTTATGTATTTCACTTCTCTTCCACCATTGAAAAAAATGCTTTGGCTAAACAAAAGGTAAAAAGGTAAAAGACAAGTAAAAGCCGTCCGCTGAGCGCTATTTTGGCCGGCATCATAAGGATGATTCGGCCGCAGGAGGATTATTATGCTATTCTCTACGAATTTGTGACTGAAAGTGGGCTTCCTCTAGATGAAGATGCGATTCAGGCTCGGCTTAAATTCTATTGGCGGGTTGGCTTTTGTTTGACGACACCAATGCGCGAGCCAAATGAAAAACGAAAACGGAATTTTGGTTGACATAGCAGATCTATTCGCCCTTGGCATGCTGTGTGGTGTTAAGCAATGTATCGCTGACCTTTGAATGAAGAGATTAAAGTTGAGCAAGAGAGTTGAGCTGCGTCAGGGCTTAAACGTACAATAAAGCTTTGCGAATGCCCCAGTGAACCAGCCTGCAGAGATTCAATGGTGAAATTAGACAGACCGCAATGTGAGGTAATACCAGTGTTGGTTATAAACCCTTAGATCCTGTATATTAAATTAAAGACAAAATAGAACAGCTTGAAGATCGTTTTCGGGCGGGGGATGAGGTAGGTTAACTGTGAGCGAGGGTTTACAATACCCAGGTAGGTAACACAGACCAAAATACTTTGAGACGAGCTAAATGAAAGCCGATAATTCTACCCTTCTTGCTTTACTCCGCATTATAAATACTAAGTATCCGCCGTGTGTCATTACCCTCTTTACTCTACAATACAAAATAACCTCATGGCGTGTAATTGGCTGACGGGCGTAGCGAGCATTGGGTGTATTAATGAGGAAGCCTGCTGTAAAGTTAACGTCAATGCTCACCAAACATACCGAGCGAGATGTGTTTACCCACACTATAGACATATAAACAGACGTGTTCCCAGGCATTCCCTTCTTTTCTAAATCAACTCACTCTTTTACGCACTTGCTAGCCTTGTTAACACGACACGTGTCTAGTTCGTCACATTTGCTTAAGACGCTACAAGTCGTGGATTGATGCTTGAAAAATGAAGGTAGGATGTTGCCTCCAGTTGGCTTAGTTGTTTACCAGATCATAAAAGCAGGGACCGGAGGCGGTGCAGTTCAGGGGTTGGACACGCAGACTCTGACGCTGTAGGCCTCTATTACATACGGTTCTACTCAATAATCTGCTTACTCCTGTTAGAAGCCAACTGCTGACGCATTTAGATTATCGAGCTCTAGCTTCTGTTTCTTACGTCTGTTACACAAGTTGCCTTTGTATGACAGCAAAGGCCTTCGTGAAGTCACAGCTTTAATCAAAGAAACCGCACGGCTACCGGGCCTTGATGACTTTATTTCCCAGCCGTGTTCTGGACTACATGTACCTCGGAAACCTCGTAAATACTAACACGCCTGATCTGTCAAGAGCTCTTGGAATTGGACAGATCCTCAGCATAAGCGAGATATCGATGTGGAGGAATGGCGAGCTGGAGGAATGGGGCCCGGAAAACCTATGCGTTGTTCAAAGTGTGCAAGATAATGGCATCAACCATCTGACAGATGAGTTTGAGAATGGCCTTGAATTTATCAGTGAGTCTGAACACCTTTTATATCTCTCATATTTTCCAGTACCTCCAAAATGCAGATGAGGTTTGTTCGAGTCGATTCAGGGTAAGCGGAAAAAACTCCAAAAGAGATTCAGTGACTGTAGTGCTAAGTTTTCTCTGTATCTGTCGGTTCAACGAAAGATCTGCGCAATCAATTTGAACCTTTTTAGGTTGACAACCATTGTATACTTTACACATATCTCCTCATTGGCCTTCGTACATCAAATTGTAACAGAGTACAGCTTAACTTCTTCAAGTTCAGACACATTTAAATCCTGTATAATACATTTTCATCCTCAGACCATCTCGGTGGGAGTGCCCCTAATCGGAACGGAAGATAGGGAAGGGGTTGACAACATTGAAGAATACTATAATAGTAACAAAGATAAAGACGACGAAGATGAGAAAGATGAAAGAGAAGAAACATAGGATTGTAGCTGGCGATCGAAAACTTCAAGATTTCCTATCTGGCTATGGTGTTGGTAGCAAAAAATAACTTTTGTTGCTCCTATACCGATTGCCGCCAAACACTTCAAGACAGAAAACGTCTCATACGACACAACCAGCTACATATGTCTTTGAGTCATTTCTTAAGTGGAGTCGATACTAGTGCTTAGAAGTAAAATGCTTCGAGCTGTGTGTCTTCTGGCGACAGTGATTCAATCAAGTTCGAGACTTTCCCAGGCACAAATATAACCTATTGAAACCGGGAGATAATCAGCGAAGAGGCTTTACTGTAAAGGAAAATCTGTCTAGTTACAGAGATACATTGCTGCACAACTCGGTCAGATGCTTCCTTCGGATAAGGGCAGACGTGAGCTGCATGTGGGAAGTAAGCGGAAACAAAGGACGCGAACGAGAACTAGGCGCTATGATTTACCAAAAACAAATGCAGTCCAACGGTAGGTAAGAATGCAGCATCAGGTCACTCCAGTCCTCCGCCTGTTCTAATAAGTGCTCACAGAAGAACAACCATAAAAGGTAAGATTTACCACAACGCTACTGTCAACACCATCATTGTCGTTCTTTCATTACGAAATCAGTATCCTATCGGTATCTGAAGCCGTCGTTTCCACTACGTTGATGCTGTTGTTCCCTGACAGGGGCTGTATAGTCCCTGGAGCTGTGCGACGATCCTCGGGCGCATCACGATTGCACCCCGCTATAATGTTTTCCCAGATTATCCGCTTCATCCAGAAGCGGTCACTCCGGGTTATCCAGCCTCAATCCTAATAACGGGCGAAACCATGATGTAGCCGACATCTGATCTGGGAGGGCTTCCAGAGGTAAGCTACACAAAAAACGAGATAAGCGACTTTTTATATTAATATCAGTGAAAAATGGCCAATGTATGTTATTTATACTGAAGTTTAGATTTAAGTTATCTATATAGTTTACTATTTCTTCCACGTCCTTCGGTCTTGGGTTCCTTGTTGGATTGGATTCTATACTATAACATCTTCTCTCAAACGTGAGGGTGACATGATAATTGCAAGAATAGGGGCTATCGTTCCGAACAGGTAAGTAACAACTCACTTATTAGAAGTATGGGGACTAGTCCTCTAATTTATCTTAGATGCCTAATAAGAAAGACTACCTGTAATAGTCTAGGAACGTGGTAGTAACCCACGACCAATACTAGTATCAACCTAGCCCGTGGAGCCCATCTTTCCGTTAAATGCTGAAGGATCGCATTAAGGAGTTTCCTGACAGCATGCCCCAGATGGAAGAACTAGTCTCGGGAAAGTCCAAGGCTGGTAAAGCCTCCACCGCCGCCAAAACCCAGGGCGGGGCTACCACCAAAATCAAGTCCAAGAGTAGCCTCAAAAGCCAGGGAAAAGCCGGAGACAAGGTCGGATACAAGGGAACTACTAGACCACCTGTGAAGAGCAAGATCACCAAGCCTCAGCCCTTCAACCGAAACAACAGAGCTGCTTCCCCCTCATTCCGCCCCTCGGTTGGTGTAAAGGTGCTCCAGGCCATGGAGAAGCAGTTGGAAGTCCTCCGTGAGATTCTTACTAAGACCAAGAAGGTCTGCATGTTCAAAGAAGCACCACGGATAGATATTACATCCTCGCTAAAAGAATCGTTAGAAACTTATGTTACAATAATACCATTGTCTCGTACTCAGACGTTATAATGAACAACAGCAGTTGCAGACTGTCGAAGAATTTGCTAGTGGCTCTATCTAGCTCATCTGTGAGCCCTGGAGCCCAGCTGCAATCTGGCAGGTTTTATTCAGTGAATTGGTCAGTTTTTTTGCTGCCTTGAATAGCCTTAGGAGGGGCCAACGCACACTTTTAGTGGGAAAAATCGTGTGCTTGCTCCTAGCCCACTGAATGGCTGCAGGGAAAGGTGAGTAACTACCCGGGACTGGCTGGTGGAAGTGCAGCGGTACTCCCCAGTCCCCGGCGCCTAGTATGCTTGTATATTTAAATTGAAGTATCATGCATATCGGTGAAGCCTTTTAAAAAGCACCTCACTTTTATCATAGGATACTGACTACTTTTGGCCGTCTTAGGCCTGCGGCACTGATAGTTTAACGTATGGCCGTTCTCCACCCCGGCCAGCACCGGATTGCTGCGATCTTCTGTAGCCCCAAACAAGTAAGCGCAGCGTATTTTTGCCTTTCTGGCGATTGTAAAGATGTTGGATCAAAGTTGAGAGTACTGAATGCCGGACTAATAGATCATATAGGGTGACTTAACGAGGTAGCGAAATATAAAAGATAGAGAACTGAACAGAAGACGATATATAGTTTAACGAAGAGGAGTTTAATGAATGCGGACATACTGGTGAAAATAGGAGTTAGTAGCAACAACAGAAATAGTTGAGATACCTTAATCTTCGTAGTTTAAACGCAAAAAGAGCATCTAAGATCAAAGCCGACACGAGCCTACATAATCAGGGAGCTGCCGATGCAGAATGGCGCCCAAACTGTCTCAAGAGTATGTCAACGAACAGAGACCACAAGACCACACACAGCTTGGAATCTTACACATCCAAGATCGATTCTCAGGAAAGAGGTAGCAGGGCCTTCGGGGCTCTCATTTACAAAAAGAAGGCTCCAAAGTCGTCGCTTAGAGCAGAGAAATACCTTAGACATGAGATCCTACCTTCCAAGTCTACATATACCAATGCTTCTTGCCCTCCGACCTACCTCCAGCTCTTGCGTCCCATGCATACAGACCTTAATATTATCATTGTGGTTTTCCACGGTTTTTCGAATCTGCAAGCCTTTTCGTTGTAGGGTATATACTGGTTTCAATGGCAAGACGAATGTAGCTGGTAGACTTGGAAAAAGATTTGGCCGTGCAGAATGGTGGGGATCCAGATGGTGGTCTCGGCAGGAGCACAAGAATCTCTAACCCAAAGAACAGCTTGATAGAAAAATTCGGAAGGGAAAGTAGAAAGACAGATGGAGAAGGTTGCGTTGAAGCGCAAAAGAAACTCATAGAGACGATACTTTTCGAGGTTGACTCTTGTTGTTTTAGGGGCCCGGCTAAGGTTGTCGCTGAGGAAATCATGATCGGAACTGCTTGTTGCTAGTGACTGCCCATATAAGTACGCAGCAAGCACCAGAGAGGAAGGAGAGAACAGTTTTCCAAGGAAATAATGAATCTATGAGGTCAGGCATCACACAGACACTCCGGAGAAGCCTGCCATAGATCTGCTGCCTTCCAGGAGGCATTTACCCAAGGCCCAGACACCATCGCCCCAGTAACTTCTCTTATATTAAGTATCTTAATAATTAATTACTTGGTCCAGACACAACTTCCTTCAGATCAATTGCAATCAACAAGCCTCCTCTGAGAGCTGCCACAAAGAAATTCTCTTGAAAGGATCGATTCGCAAAGGTCAAGAGTGAGTTAGCTCGATAACTATGACACGTCAAAGATATCACACTAACTTCTCTACCAGAGTTCGTGGGTGGCAGGCTTAGTCGGCCGTCACGTGGGTCGCTGGCTGCCACCAGTAGTCTTAGCTGGTTGGCACTTATCTTCCTCCAAATTCACATCACTGTTTTCCTACTGAGCGTTCTGTGCCACGTTTCCGCCCACAGAACTTATCAAAGCCCTCGAGTCGTATTCCTCGCGCCTCGAAGCCACCTTTGACCAGATCCCCCCCCCCCGACGGGACCCAATCAGTCCATCCCCCGAATTTTGATCTGTCACCAGCCTACGTTGACAAGCTCGACAACTAGTTTACGAGAGTCTATGAAGAGTACAGTCGCCACGTCGGAACGGTCAAGGCCTTTTGCGAACACAATGCCCAGCTCTGGGTCGAGCTGGGCGACCCCCAGGCCCAAACGGACGGCGCCATCGTCAAATATCTTCGGGACGAGCCCAAGCAATTAGGTCTGCACGAAGAGGATATCACATGCCTCCCTCAATATTCATACTAACACCAGGCCGTCTTTCCCCCAACGACTGCGAAGCATGATCAACGTCGGTAGTCAGATCGCCGCCCGTTAGTTCAGCGGATTCCATCCAATGTCGCGCCCAACACGATTGCAGATTCGCACTGGACAAGGCGGCTCAGCACTCATACCAATAGTCTTCTCTCGGAATATGTAACAAGGTTCGCCAACGGCGTTGGAGAAAATAAAGCCATCTAGCTGGATATTGAGTAAACTGGACACTACTTGTACTTTGTCGACGACCTTTGCGCGGCCATCTCGGATCTCCATCCTCGACATCAACATTTTCCAGCGGAGCAAGATTTGTCGTGACTGCACATTTGATAAGAACGCCAAGCAAATTGGCGTCCATGATTCTATGGCTAATTTAGGCCAAACCGATTTCTGTCAATGACCCGGCAGAACTGGGTGTATAATCCCATGGTGCGTACCATTGCCAACCCCCAATTCCCTCGTTGCTTCCTTGTTTAACTCATGGCGCTTCAAAACATACAGGAAATGCTAGCAAATGTCTTGCCCGACCTTACCAGACTGGTATTTTCAACGATCAGCGTCTGCTTCGACATCCGTCCTTCCCATTCCGCTCTGCTTTTCAGACTATCGACAAAACAATCTTGCAGAACATACCATTCATTAATGTCGCCAAGTACGATAACCTCAAGACACGCATCATCAGCTTCAGCATCAAAACGAAACTCCAAGGCGAGGGCCCGCCCCTTATTAAGGCGCAGATATTGCCCCGCCACGCACATTGGCTGTCTATGCTCGGTCAATTCGGCAACGGCACGGTTCCGAGGCGGCTAGTTCCCAGTTGATTACCAACTATCATCGTATAAGAGTGCATTTGCAACTTTATTGCGAGCACTAGGGAGGGTGGTAGTGTGCTAAGGATGTCTTTTTTACCTGTTGCATATGGGTTGTGTTGCTGAAGCTCACAAAGAAACCACTTAGATGCTATGGTCTGGTCAACAAGCTGGCTCATGTATTGGGTCTTTAATTTGCTGCTGAAGTTTTTGAACATCCAAACGTTATAAAGTCAGCGACAGAAGCTGCTGTCAAAAACGTGCGCTTACATTGGTGACTTTGCATTTCGTATAGAGAGCTGCATCCATCAGCATTCTGCTAGAGTTATTACACTAATGATTTGGGAGTTTAAGATTACATAGATGGGCAAAGGTCTCTGCTGCGGGTGCAAACCTTACAGACGAGGAAAGATGGAGATGGTCTAAACAAGATTGCCTGAACGAGATTCTGCAATCACCATTCAACCCCCCCGCTCATGCGTACGGTTTAACCCGGCTGGCAACTCTAATGACCCAGTGGTTCACATTTACCTATGTATTTATAAAGGAGGAAAACTAGGTAATTCATACTCAACGCTTCTTATATACCGCATATAGTAGAAACGGTAGCGCGAGCTATTAAATTAAGTAGATAGCTATCTAGGTATAATAAGTCTAGCTAGAAACTCGTCTCTCCCTAAATCTAGCTCTAAAGTAGGAGTTATATATAGTTATATATTTAGAAACGATATATTTCTATATATTTTTAAAGCTACTAGTATATAGTCGAGACGACTCTGCTTTCCTCGGGTAGTCTAATCCTGTCCGGTCGTTTTGGTTGTGCTTATACCCGCTAATGCCTTAGTGGGTGGCTACCTGATCTTGGTAGCTACCTAAGTTTTTAGTGGGTAGCTACCCACTGTTGGTAGTTACCAACTGAACCATTAGCGGGTAGCTACCAAATGCTGGTAGCTACCCACTAAAGATGGCAGGCTGGCAGGCTGTCACTGTGACAGTTCCGAAGTAGACCCAAACTCGCCTTCTTGTCCTAGCGACTTAAATCTTTCTTCTACAGATCCAGCCCAACGTACGGAACTAGGTTTAAATTCTCTCTCCACCGAGACAGAAGCTCTTTTCTATCCCGACCGAAAAATTGTGGATTGAATGACTTTTCGTAACGTTCCTCAACTTCGCCTGCGGCACGATAAATCTGCTCAGAGTCACGCGCCCAGTCCTGCTCGCGAAAATCGGTCGGCCAGCCGTAATGTCTCAGAGCCTTACTAATTACCTGGCCAAGAACATCCTGTGAATAATGCTTCAGCTAACATTCTGTGAAATTAAAGGCTAGATATGTGTAAGATGTGTTTAGAGGCCTACAGATGAAGTGCTCCAGTACTCGCCTTCGCTTGAGGCTGGAACTAGTTCGAGGTCAAGGACGTCCTGAATCCACTTTCTCAGAACTGTTGGCGCATGGTACATGGGCCAGTTTCTGTAGTGATCAGGGTCATCCGGCCTTTCGACCTGATAGTCCTGGGGGAGGCCACCCGAGCCTCCTCTTGCAGGAGCTTCCAGATGCCCGGAAACGAATCTAAAGGCATCTGGAAGGATAACGATGTCAACTCAAAAGCTCAGATTTCTATATAAGGCCGTATACAAAGCCAAAAAAATGACAGAGACATGGGGAGAATAAAGATTAATAAACACACTATGATTGAGATCCAGGATCCAGGCAAGCCCATCACTCTCACTAGGACGGGCTAAGGCGACGTCTTGCGGCAGTAGGTAGCTGGCGTCATTCAGATTCTCTGGTTGGGCAGAGTACTGCGCCATCTCATGGGGATCGCGGCAGTCCTTGACATCGTCCTCGGCGAGGTAGTTCATGGCGTCGGCTTCGGGGTAGATACGCATGCGTTTATATGACGCGACCCGGGGATACGGCAGTCGCTCGACCAGCGAGACGGCCTCCGGGCTCATTCCCCTCTCATTCAGTAGCTGCTGGCTGTCTAGCAGTGCATGCCTCCCCGTTGCTGCTGGCGGGTAGACGATGTCTTCACGTCTGCAGAAATTAAGCCTTACCAGAATAGCGTACATGTCGAACCAGAGAGCGACAAATTCGTCCTCTTCAAAGGCCGATGGGCTGCCTGGAGCGGGCTGCGTGCAGACCAGTAGCGCCATATCGGTGAGAAGCGTCATCGTGGAGGTCATTCACTACGGCTACCAGGGAGTTGAGGTGTGCACGAAAAGTCTTGCTAAGATTAATGAAGCTGTCCTTTTTCTTTTTTGCTAGTGCAGATTATGTGCCTTCTTTTCTCCGTAAATCACCTCAGTTTGGGAGCCCAAGCGAGCGCCCAGACATATGCCAAGGCATTCTGGGCCAATTCAGGTCGAAGCCACGCCAGCTGGGGGTGAGCGTGATCATATTAGCAACTCTCCTTGCACTGTCGTTGATCTACTTCAATCTCTAAGCCTATACAATATAACAGTTGCAATTACTGGTGATAAGGCTTGAAGAGCAACAAAGCTGGCGACGAAGACAATGGAAATTATATGTATTTGTGTTGTTGGAGAGGGCTGGAGGCTGAGGTAAACAAGCTTGCATTATGACCAGAGAAAACATTTTTTTGGATTAATAATATTTAGTAGAAGGGATCCTCCATTTTCTATCTATGTGAATCCCGTTTCAGATCTCCTTTCCTGTCGCAATCTTCAACACCCGTCGCATCGCCAAATTGCAACGGGACCACATTGTGGCTGTCACAAGCCACATCGTGCCACAACAGCACCTTTGGCGCCACATTACTCGCTCCAAGATAAGATGAGCTGCAATAACGCCCAACAACGACTTTGCCCCATCAACAACACCAAGATATTGCGTCACGCAGTCAATTATTAGTAAGGTGCAATAAGGTCTTGCAAAAGTCTCAGTGTAAGGCAGTCAGGTCATCTCGATAATCCAAAACGAATCTATAACCCATAGCCAGACCCCCACTCTTTCAGCCTAGCACTACCTACTCTAAGTAGGATAGCTAAACACCTAGGTTGTCTGCAGTCGCCTGTCCTCTACTTTGTCATCAGTATATATAAGGCTCTTCAGGTATACGTAGTGCTTTAGACTATGCTTGTAAGCTTTACTGATAGGTTTAAAGTCGCTGTTACCTGGTGTATTTTAACCTTGAGATACTGATGTGAATATGGTATGCAAGGATGAAGAATATCTGCCTCCGCTTAGTTGCTAAGAGATGAAATCGGTAATAAGCTGAAGGGGAGGAAAAAGCTTATAATATGATAAAAAGAGATTAATTAATGCTGTCTTGAGAAAACAGAGAATGTCTGCAGGTTAAATATAACATGACGGGGACGGCGAACATGGGTTTGGTTTGAGTTTAAAGGTAGAGAGAATAGGCCTTAATCTTATCTATAAAGGCGTTAGCGTTTCCTAGGCTAGGGAAGCTTTGCGAATGCAAAACACGAAATCCGTGCTCTTAAAGATATTAATAAATAAATAGAGTAGTTGAAAGTCAACGTAGCGATTAGCATTACTTATTACCCCTTGTAGTTCTTTTCTCCCTTTTCTAAGGTAAGAGAGATAATATTTGCCTTTAAGAGGCAGACTTAAAAACTCCAACTGTGTCGACTTAGTTCCACAGAAAAAGCCGTGAGAATTCAGACTTAGCTTAGTGCGATCGCTAAGCATGTGTTCCCTTTTGTGAGTTCAGCCTGATTGCCATTTGGTCTTCAAGGCTTGAGAAGTAACATACTGCTAACATATGATCTTCCCAGACCCTGAGATCACGGCCGCTGGACTCGTAGAATCGCCCCTATGTGCGCCTGTTGACGCCTTGTTGTCTGGGTTGTATCGTCATATCACACGGTTTATGGCTCTGCTGCGCTAGATGAGCCACGTTTTCTGTCTCAAGCTTTCAGGTTGTGTTGTAAGATGGAAGCTCCGTTGCTCCATTACATACCAAGTCGGATCGTCGGCTCCTACCGAACAGTAACTCCTCTTACCTCTCTAACGGACTTTATTCCCCTCATCTCTACAATCCCTGTTATTTCGATTTACCTTTCGGGAGTGGATGCTCGCGGTTGGACGCCTGTGTCTTCACTTTCTCCATAACTTTGAGAGCCAATTCCGTTACTTGAATAAACAAACACATGATGAATATGAAGATGTCGCTTTTTTTAATTTGATGACTTTCTGCCTTATTCCAGTTGGAGTATATTTGAAGTGCATAGCGAGGTTCCTTCAACCAACACTAGCATTTAGCGAGTCTCGCTCCTCTTTAGTATCTTCCTCCTGCATACTTTCCTGCCTAAGTTAAGCCTCTATTTTCTGATCTAAGATATATCTACCTGAAATAGCTATTCTAGCCTTTACCAAAATTGTCGGTCGATGCGTGCCGAAATCCGTTCATGAGCAGTGAAGATAACCCGAAAGTGAAGACAAAGGGCGCGTAGTATATAGAGTTGTCTTGATTTTTGCAGAACAGAGTAGGGGCGTAATACTCAGTTTGGGCGTGAGCTTTTGGCATTTAATGATAAGTGATTACTGGACGAAGTATTGGCTGAAGTTCTCGTTTTTCGTTTATCCTACCATACGTCCCTTTACTGGGTTGGCATAAAGCTTTCTTAAACATGCGTAGTGAAGACGAACATGCTGGTCTGGGTCTCTTCCAGATTCTGCTTCCCCAGTAATGAGTCCACGATGTTAATCTTGCTCGTGGTGGAATAACTATGCACGGTTACAACCAGAACTAATTACAAAGCTCGGAGTCAATAACTACGAGAGTTTCGTTGCTCTGGTGAAGGCGTCGCACTACTTCTCGAGTGGGCAGTATTCCTTTCGAACGGCTTTAGAGATCAAGGAGTTGACAGAGTAGACATCCAGAGACTAATCACAAACACTCTTGCGGGCAACATTGAACCGTTCGCCTTTGATCATGATCGCGTCTGCAAAGCCTGCCTGAATTTTTTTCAGTTGGAAAGATGTAGTTAATACTGCCCTTCGGGTCCGGATCTGGCAATACTGTTGAAGGAGCAGCGGTTTTCTGCTGTCGGAGATGGGCAAGGGTCTTGCTTCGCAAGCAAGAATGGGAAAAACAAGCAGGATTTGTTTGCGTGACGTATTTCGGCAGAGAATAGGAAAGGAAGTCTTTGCTCAGGGAGACGGCCATGAAGTCAGGTTTGGTTTCAAGTAATATGGAGCTTTAGCGCCCCTGGTAGTACAGACGGATGCGACATCGGCTTTGGCTGCTGCGTCGAACAGCACGAGTAGTAGGTCCCAATTTCGGACTTTACAAAGAATATCTCGTCACTTTCGCTGTGATTTGAATAACAGTAGTGCCCGAAATGATAAGGCGGGGAGTAAGCGGAACGTTAGTAAGTCTTGTTTTAATAACGTCTATGCTGATTCAACCATCTCAAACATAAGAACTAGAGTTAAAGAGTCCGACCTGTGAAATATACCTGAGATAGGAATAATGCTTTGGGGAGATAGTTAAGCAACTCAACTTATGGTTCTAGCACGTCTTAGATATGTTGGGCCTGCGGGGTTGTAGATGCAGTATATGGCGGATAACTAAAGATTGTAGTGATGACTTTTGGGTGATGTGTTGAAGTGAAGAGTCTCGGGGTGACTGTAGACTTCATTGCGTCAGTCTATTGTAGAAGAGATACCTTTGGGTGCAGAGCATCATGTCATCAACGTTGCGTCGTTGATAAGATAGAAGGCGGCGCTATATAAAGAGGCTCATCTATGCAATAGGAGGGACTACATTGCATAGAAGTCTCAAACCTTTACCCCCTCCCTAGAAGGCAGCGATCGCAAACAGCACTGCGGAAAAATACGTAGGTACGAAGGATGAAGGCCAGTCTCCCGCCTATTCCAGTACGTTCTCTTGCACCTTGGGTCACCTAAAAGCACCTTCTGCGTTACCAGAGTAACATCCATATGGTGTTTTGGTCTCTATGTGCGGAGATCTAAGTCGACCGCCTCTAGTACTATCGCAGTCTGCCTAATGAGTTCCGTCGACGTGTTGGGCAAGCCAGATCACGAGTGACCAGACGCCTTCTCCGCGCCACACGACGGCTCACCACGTATTGTCCTGGTCTCTGCATACCTCAACTCGACCCTCTGGTCCCGCCATGTGCTTGGCCAGGGTCTGATTTACGGCTTGCCAAAAGCGCATCTTGTTGGTGGTTCGCTGGTATAGGTCGCGATATTGAGCCTGGGGTCTGGCTGACGCTTGGACATGCTGGCTTGAATTGGGGGGGATTGTAGGAGAGAAAGCGGCGATGACTTAGCTTTTACGTCTGTTTGTAGCGTGGGGGACATATGGACGCTCTCAAGAAGCGTTGAAGGGGGCGCCGCTCGTTGGCCAGGAGTATGAACTTCCTTTTCGTGAGGCTTGGGCGAGTTGGCCAGACGGTACCCCTGTGGATTGAGGAAGACAGGTCATTTTTTAGGTTTTGCGGCGGCCTCGCTGCATTAGCGCAAGCTCAGTGATAAGTCTCCTTGCGCCAGGCCTCGATCGTGGATTGGTGTTCTTCCTTGCTGATGGCGTCAGAGCTCTTCGTAAGAATACGATAAACCTCCCGGTGGAACAGCATGTGGCTATCATCCTACAAGCTGATGGCCAAACTCCCCCCAAAACTGGGGATGTTATTGACAAATATCAATAAAACCCCACGCTTTTCACGTCCGATCCGGCCGTCTCATAGACTCGCAGTCGACTTCTAGCTCAGGGTTTCGTTTAAAGAAGGCGGTGATAGCTCCAACTCAATCAATTTGGCAGAGGTAACAGAACCGACGGACTTAACAGCCTGGCTGTCAAGCTTGACGATGCCTTTTCGTAAAGTCGGCAGCAACGAGGTTCGAGGCAGACTGAAATTTTATTCTTAGGCTTTTCTAACGAGGCTTTAGTAGGAGCAAGAGGGGTAACAGTATTTAGACAGGGGATGACAGGCTTGGGTCCGGCGGCGTAGCGACACAGTTAGTCTAGGATGCAGGCATTTCATGAACAGATGCAGGAGCGAGAGTAGGCTCCTAAGGCTTGACAGCAGACGCTTTTGGAGTGCGAAGGGGGTAGGCGAGCACATCAGTGTGCTTCTTAATGTCATCCTACCCGGCAGTCCTGTTCGCGGTGATCACAGGGTCGACGGCAGGTTACTCGGCCTTGCTATTAAATTAAGCAGCATTCCAAGGAGCCGTGCTAGTCTCCAGTTTTTATTGAAGACCCCAGGGGTCCAACTTTACAAGAGTCTCTTCAGGGGTCCGCTTGAAGACAACAGTCGGAAATAAAGACGATACTTCAAGGACCGAAGAAAGGAGCGCGTGCAAAGCATAGCTCTCGGAAAGGTTCTCGCCAGGGCAGATCATAGACAGTTCGTGCAGGGCGATGAGCCTATCGGTTACAATGTGAAATGACGAGGAGGAGGACATATACTAGGAGCTCAATTTCCATCTACATCTCAAACATCGTTCTGGCCTTTGATATCAAGTCTGGCTGGGAAATGTAAGGTAAGGAGTTAGGAAAGCAAGCATCAAACCTTCGACGTTGTACTTCGGTGGTCGAAACCTTAAGTGAGATGTTGATACTTGAGCAGAATGAAGTCGCGATAGCTTGAGGCACAACAATGGACGGCAGACGCTCTTACCTAACAGAAGAAACCCAATTCGCCAAGATGGAGAGGGAGATAGGTATGGTGAAGGTAAAGGTTTACTAGGAATATGGAGGCTTCTGGCTAGGCAACACGCACCAGCACCAAATGGCCTCGACGTCCCAGAAGCCGCGGAAGATACACAAGACATGTCCAAGGTATTTGAGGCAACGAGGTAAACGTTAAGTTCTCAGCGTCGAAGAACGAATTCTCACGAGTCAAACGGCGAAAGCGTCCAGCGAGATTGCACCACGCCCCACGTACCGCGTCTATCAACGCAACCTTGCATAAGTTGCTCTTAATATCTCTGTCGGAGGTGGGTAAAGCAGACCGCTCCGGAGTTTGAGTTACGCTGAGGCGTTGAAGTAAGTTTGCGCAACGCGGCACCATGGGTGATGGTGCGAATAACCCGTAACCTGGAGTAAAGCATAGTCAGGACGAAACAGCACGAGAGAGGAATAGGAAGGGATGGGGACATTGTCGTATACCTGAATATTCGAAGAATATATATTGGAAGCAGTATGGTGCTTATGCTGCCGACGTGTCTGAAACTCGCTCGTAACACACACAGAGTCATAAGGACATATCTATTATCCTGGCGGAAGTTAAAAACCAGAGCGTGTTCAAAGTCGATGCTGTCCGCGATATGTCCTAATATGTCACGAATAATACTGTTATACACTCTTTCAGGATCAAGACGGATGACTAAATTCTGTCTACTACCTTGCAGCTATCAAAGAAAATCTGGTAAATTCTATTGCAGCTATGGCCCGGCTGATGCGTATGGACTCCTGAAAACAGGTGAGACTTTCTGTTCCCTTTCCAGCCTGGATCATATAGCTAGGTAACTCGGAGCAGGAAATTGGCTCAACACTTGAGAAATCCGCAAGCTCCACGTATTGTTCCAGGTTGTTACCCCTTTCACTTCCAGGCTTATCGTAAGTAGATGTTGCGATACGTATACGTGAAAAGCAGGCCGCAGCATCTTGCAACGCTATTATTGCATGTTGAGTATCATCCACCCAACTCGGGCCAGTCATATAAAGATGTATGTAGAGATTTCTAGACAGTGCCCCTCGATGGATAGTGCCATAACTGCAGGACTAACAGTACCTTAATCAGAGATTAAACGTGTGTTTTACAACAATCAAAAAGCTTAAGAACCTTGGGCGGCAGATTGTGAGGACTAAGAAAAAGTAATATATCTCGAGGGGATCTATTCGTGTCAAGCAGTTTCTTTGGCTGATGTACCTCACGGATGGATCTGTCGGCTTGACGTGAGTAGTTGATGTCGCTCTATGTCTCTTTTCTTGGCTGGGTAAGTCGTAGGTTGGGCCGAGTGGCTGCGAAATCAGTACTGAACTGTGAGTAACAAAGCATCTCGCGGCATAGGGACGGTGGTCTCGTTGGAATATAAACTGGCTTAAAGTCCAGTCGAAATCTTGAATCATGCCTAAATGAACCGCTGTCTGTTGGACAAAACCGGGGTTTGGACGACCCTATTGACACACATCCATGTGCACACCTGGCAGCCGCTGATGTATTTCCTTAGCATCACTGCATGAGACCCTGATAACACACCACCCTGCGGCTTATTGCTTACAGACGAATGTAGGCAAGGAAGAGATTCTAGAATCTACATTGTGGTAGAATTGCGTCCACCACGTTTATCACCATGAGGACATCAGCCACTCGATAGGTCACGATACCGGCTCACATGCGAGGTTGATTTCCATGCTGAGAAAGATACAAGACAATGGACCATAAAGGTAACGGATGACGAGAAGAAGGAGGGGCAGACAGCTTCGGAGCTTCGTCTGCGCTGATTATGTAGGATTTTGTAGCTGGAAATCGTAGGCTGCTTGAGAGGATGGTTCTCGGAGGGAATGGGCTCCATGAATTGCCGTTCTGTAACGGTAAGAAATCAAAACCCTCACTCAGAATTTGCGCATGTCAGTTTTGAAACTGTCACCTTCTACTCCCAAATAACATGGCTCAAGTTCCAACACTGATGGCAACCTTGAGCCGTTTGCTGGGTCCCTCGCAAGACTTTTTTGCTGCGAAGTTGAACCAGCTGGTCCGCAACAATGACGACATTGATGTAATCTATTGACGTTCGGGTTCCGGGAGGGTAGAGACAGTATCGCTGGAAGATGCAAAAAAAAAGCCCTCTCGGTACATATGGGCAGAGCGTGAGCCTGGCTCTGGCGCTACGGTAGCCGCCTGTACGTTGTCAATGGAATCTAGATACGCGTCCGTAAAAGTACGAATATGAGCTAGAACTTGTGCTCATTTAATGGGAGCACTAATTGTTGGTTATGACCTGACCATTTCCGTGATCTACCATGGAGCACATCAGCAATCACAATTATCCACGAGGTGCGGTTTTATTAAGCGACTTGTCTGGGGTTAGACTCCATGAAAGACGCCGACAAGCTCAAAAGTAACGTATGACAAGGCACGAAAGCTCCGACGCTGGCGAGATGACAAAGGAGTGTAGAGACATAAAGAGACTATGAGACTCTCCTTTTCTCGCCAAGGTAGTGTTCCTGGTACAATATGGCTGTCATACGGGCCGTCTCCCCCCCGCAGATTTTCATGTTCTTGGCTGAACCGTCTCGACGAAAGGGTTTGATATCGAAGTGTAGACAGGCTTTATAGTCTAACCTCATTACCCTAAAGTAAGCAGCGCGTTAAAGCACGCTCGGAAGAGGCAGGAAAGTCAGGGCTTTGGAAACAAATCAAAATGTATTCAGAGGGGACGGGGCTGTGTCAAAGGCGTACTATCGCCCCTCAGGTGTGACGGAGAGGCATTGGACGCAAAGGCTGCTAATGTTGTGTTTGAGGAGGGTGGCGAGGTATATAAGAAGGAGATGTCTAATCTGGGCCTCGTAATCGGTGCGTCTACAAGGCATAGAGACCAGATGGATTTCGGCTTTTGGCGGCAAGGCTAAGGTCGGGGTCGGTGTTGGGGTCATACTCGGGCGTCGTGGTGCAGGTAGCTTTGCGCATCTGTTTGCGCATCTGTGGACCCCTTTCCTCGACTTACACCGTGGGGCTTCGAAGAGATGTTTGTTAGGCTAGATGCCGTGCAGAATGAGAGAGTCAACAAGAACACAACGTAGGCAGTCAATAATACTATCATTCGATTCTGCCTCCTCTAAACCTTTCCATACGCGTCGCTTTATCCCCCGTGCGGACTGTCATAATTCCTGCCAGTGTCCACCAGTGATCCTCCGGGCCCGATTCCGGACTTCCTGCCTGTAGTGCTGGCGTCTCTGACAATGTCGTCAAAATGGAGCGTCAGCTGATCCATCTGGCTGAGGATATCTATGTCGTTGTGTGCTGAGCTGTCATGAGGGGGAAAGAAGCGCGATCACTGTCATCCTTAGCGTAAAAGTCGAGAGAAGGTATGGGCTAAGTGGAGAGAACTTTACGGAAGTTGATCGAGCAAGACCCAGGGGACCAGAGGGCGTGCAGTTCGGGGAACGGCTCATTGGGGATCTTGGAGCTGGAGATGGCCTCATGGCTCGTTATGTTGCTAAGTTTGAGACGTGGTCGATGTGGGCAGATGGACGGCGACAAGCCATTCGACGATTGAAGAAAGCAACTAAAAATAAAAAATAAAAACAATACCACAGTCTAATCCTTCGACATCATACTTAAAGCCTCCATTATCACCTTGTCCTCCAAACCAATCCTCGATTTAACATCCTGGATGAGACTACTTAGCATAGTACGGACAATGTCGAGTCTTATAGTAGTCTCATTAAGCCGGCTTAGCTTGGTGTCAGCAGCTGTGAGACGAGTTGCTATATCATCAATCTCGATCCCGAGGCTTGACCTACGGTCTTTTTCGACTCTTATGTCGCTAGCATCCTGCATAATGCGTATCGACCGCTGCTGCGCCATTGCATGGATACGATCAAAAATGACAAGTGTGCGATCCAAATCGTCGGCCGTATTGTTCAATACCCAGAGACGGCGGCGACTTTCCTTGCGTAAGACGCTGCCCATCTTGGTCCAACACTTGACAGCCTCCTCATAGTCGCTTGGAACAGGGCCATCGCTCACATTAACCTTCCCCATGTAATCCTTGGGGAGTATGTCGCCTGCCGAGCTTGAAATAGCGCTTGGGTCTTGGACCAGAAGAATAGCCATAACCCGACGCCACACAGCCGTGTTCACGGAAGCAGGTATCATATACCCCAGAGTCAGCGTGAGCAAGTTGACCAAGACCATAATGCCGCAGTCCGAGGTGTTTTCTTGACGGGCACATGCCATGCGGGCCAGCTTGGCGTTGCCCTGGTCGAGCTTGTATTGCTTGACTAGACTTGCGACGAGTTCCTCGGCGGCAATATCGGATGTGTAGGTCGGCAGTGAGTTGAGCACTTTCATTGACTTGATACCAGACATGGGAGCCCCTTCAAACTCGATACACGCCGAGACCCAGTGGTTCCCATCGACGAACAGAGGTAGGAGAACCAGGCGATTGTTGGACAAGCACTCGAAGACATTGGACTTGGCTTTGTACGTCTGTCGGGAACCCATACTTCCTATCTCGGCCGAATCAATGAAAGAAACATCGCAAAAGCATTGTAGCAGGTCGCCTAATGCCGCGTTGAGCCACTCCCCACGGACCCAGGTATCCGCTTGTAGAAGAGCTGCGGGGTTGACGTCTTCTTCTGGCATGGTCGATCTGAACGGACGGGACTTCTTTCGCACTTGTACATTGGAATCAAGATCTGTAAATAGGTGTTAATATTACAAGAACACGGAAAGTTGTAAACATGTCTGACATACCGATGACATCCGTTGTCGATGGTGATGCGGGCGAATGCGGCCGTTTAGTCATCTCTGCATCCAGATCGGTTGGAAGCACAACAGGAAATTGGGCGTCGGACGAGGTGACTTTGTGCAATCTGAGTGTGTCCACTTCGTTTTCTTTGTCTTTGTTCTGGACAAAAGTTGGACTCTGATGAGGATGGTTGCGTGTGATTGAACGGGCTATGGTGTACCTGTCGTTGGTGTCTTGCCGCTGTTCGTCGTCGGACCTCTCCCACGGATGGTGATGTTGTTGAGGTAGATAGGAGGGCTCTCGGTCGCGATGGTCTTGCTCCCCGTGCTGCTCTCTGCGATCTTTGATGAGCGAATCCTCAATGTTTGGACAGTAACCGTCGTGATCACTGTAAGAATGTTCGGCTTGCTGCGCAGCGTCATCTGGGGGGTGTGGAATCTGGCAGAGCGTCAATTCAATATCATCGTCGCTGTCCACCAAAGCCGAGGGATTGAACAATTCGGCGTCCGGTTTAACAGAAGGCGGCGATGAAAAGTGGTCTAGAAAAGAGGAAAGCGAGCGTGGTGGTGTTTGATCCAGCTCGTTTGTTTTTCGTGGGACGGCGTGACGACGAGCGACGTCAGTGGTTTCGTCTTGTTCTTCGTCGATGGGCACAAATGAGTCTGAAGGATTTGACTCGATGGACTGGGGGGACTCAAAGGGCTCGCCAGATTCGACGGAGTCTGTAGACTCAGTAGCCGCAGCAGCAGTAGCAGGAAGTGCAGCAATACATGAAGTGATGTCGCAGGTCACGATGCCTTTTTGAGTAGTTTGGCGCTTCAGGTAGGACGGTCTGGTGTCGTCTCGGCGACGACAGGTTGCAGCTTCGCAGAGCTGACGAAGGGCGTCGTTCCAGTCGGGGAGCAAGTCGCTCAACTTCTCGAGAGCGTCGTAGAATGGCCTCCCTTGTGTGCTACTTGGTGTGAGGTGCAAATGAAACAAGGCGGTCTGGGGGGAGATCTGCCAGTTATCACAGGCTTTAGTCAGCTTAGAACGTTTTCTTGTGCCGATATTTTGGACCGCACGATCGAAAACGTCGTCGTAAGAAGCGATGAGTATGGGAAGAGCAGAGCGAGGGATGCGTCGGCGAAGGTCGAGAGTGTCAAAACTGGATTCGAAGCGGTCTTCCAAGTCGGTGAGCTTCTGACGCAGGCCCTCACGTCGTTCGTGGCATGCCTGACCAAGGGATGCCAATGCCTCGCGCAGGTTGTGGTTGTCGTCTCCCATGAGTAGGGAAATGGTAGGGGTGGACAGACGGGGTGATGAAGAAGATGGTGGAATTGAGGCTTTGAAGAAGGTTGTTGTGATAAAAAGAAATGTTGTTCACTGGGGTAGAGTGAGGGAAGGAAGAAAGGAAGGTATACTGAGGTAAAGGCCACGGTGGATAAGATACGTATTGAGCAAGGCAACCTTAGGCAACCGTAGAGCGCTGGAGACTCTTGCCTTGAAGAATATGTAGAATATAGTTGTCCGTATTAGGTAGGAACCTCCTAGAGATATGAAGGAAGGCGAGCCTTTTCATATTCTGGAGTTACACAGTGTAATGCATATACAGCAGAGTCGGTCTTCAAATATACACAAGTCAAAGTATTAATGTTTACTAGTTACTCAGTGGACAGATCAGTGAGATATGTGCTCGCTTGAGAAAAGGGTCTAACTAATAAACATGATTAGTAATGATAAAGTAATTCTTTCTAAGAATCTAAGAGAAAAAGTAACCCAAAGAGACTTTTAAGTATGTGTGACGATAGCGTCAACGCTCACCGAACTCACCGAACGAGGTGTGTTTACATAAGCCACATAAAACACACACCATAGATATGGAAGTATGTGCTTTCTGAGACACATCCTCTCTTTCTAAATGAAGTTTCTCATTTACGCCCCTTTTATTCTGATTAATATATGCCTAGTTCGTTACAGAATGCGTTCTAGAGAGCTTACTTAAGCACTCCTCGTTCGGGGTGTTTGGTAAGTGTATTGAGTTTATCGTCACAATATGGCTGAGAACGTCAAAAGTAACAAAAGGAGGGCGCTAAAATGACGTGTCTATAGTTTATTCTATCTAGATATTTAAGCGAGAAACGTTCTGACGCCTTTAACAATCTAATCAATCAAAAAATTCTGAATTATCCTAACCTCATGTAGTTTTGCGACGATATTTACTTTTACAGCAACACTAGTTCTTACAGCCTACTCTTGTGTAATGCAGAGACATTTAATTTTGCAGCAACATCTGAATTCTCGATAATCATCACGTCTCGGCACTCCCTGGTCCTTGGATGATGGATCAAGATTGTTGTAAGGGCGGTTCCTATCAACCCAATAGCCATCATAATTTGACAGGACACATACGTCAACACGCCAAATTACTCGATATAGTCTCGATCAACCAGTGTTTTAGGGCAACTACTAACTACAAGATTTTCTAGTGTTAAGAACATAATAGTCAACACTTTACCTTTGATATGTTACTATTCTAAGCATTTTACTAGGAGTATAGCTTATTACAAATAGTATATTAGGTATTTATTACTTTATAACCATAAAATAGTAACTAAGCCTATTGAGATTGCTCTGATAGTGATAGAAGCCGTTGAAAGACTGCCTCTTTCATCTCCTCATCTTCATGCTCATCAGTATTAAATAAAAAGTTAATCTCACTTCTCTCCAGTGCGAACCACAGCAGGTCTTCATCTACATATAACAGTCCATAGCGAACTTGAGCAATTCTTTTCAAAAGACCTAAGGATGCAACAGAAGCCGTCTGGCACTGGTCCAGAAGTAAATGCAAGTCACACTTTTCTTGAAAACATCTCTCGTCAAGTCCAAGTTTCCAATACGGGTCCAACTCAAAGGCCATGTCGAAGTCCCGGGTGGTTAGAGTAAGTGATGGAGCAGACTTGAGGAACACGTGGAACAGCTCGGAACCAAGTTTTCCCATAGCAGCCTGGACAGCCGGCTGGATTGTCTTCGGGGGTAGGAGTCTCCCGAATCGCATTCGGATCAGCTCCTCTTTGAAGTAGCACACGGACTACAGAGGGATGGTTCTCGTCCAAGGCTTCAAACAAAGCTGGCGTCATCCACTCTGCCGAATGACTCGGGGGGTCTATCAAATCGAGGAGTAAGCTGACAATTTCGGCACGGCCAAAAGCCGCCGCTTGACGGACAGTCTCGGGCGTGACTCGAGAACCCTTTTCTATCAGATATTTTACCATGGCCTCGCAGACATCCAGTTTAGGCAATGCAACCGCCTCTGGCAAAAGTATTGCGTTCTTGCAGCCAGCCAACGCCTTGTCCAAAAGAGGAACATGGATTCCATCGGCTACAGCTACGCCGGCTCCTTGCGTGAAAAGAAATTCCACGATATCCAAGTGAAAGTGGTGGGCTGCAATGGAGAGTGGCCTTCTGCCTGTCTCGTCCGAACGATCCAGGGCTACTCCAAGACTGTGCAGCATCTGAACGGCTTGCAGTAAGCCACACTGACACGCGAGCATCATCGTGCTAGTGTCTCCTTCCACGTACGTCAGAAGTCGCTCGAACAAGGCCTTATTACCCTGAGCGGCGGATTTCAAAAGACCTTGCTCGCACAAGCTGTCAAACTGGTCTCTCCCGTCTGCCGCGTCTAGAAGCAGATCGATCATCTCCAGTGTCGTTGGAGATGGTGCAGATTCACAGAGCAACCGCATGAGATCCTGGTCCTCGACAGATGGAACCACAACTGCACCCGCATAGAGAAGTTCCTCAAAGACAGATTTTGACCCCGTAATGCATGCCGCTGCCAAGGCGTATATCGGTGCTGCTTCAAATCGCTCTTTAGCCAACCATTGTTGGTTACCACCATCAGACGAAGAAGCCTCATCATCTTTGACCAGGTACGCTGCACGCTGTTGATCAAGCTGAGCGGTGTTTCGATGCTGGTTAGGGTCGGCGCCAGCTTCAAGCAAAAGATGAATGATTTTCAAATGGCCTTGGCTTGTGGCTGCGATGAGCGGGATACTCATATGCATGCAATGGCCTGTTTCCTGATGGATATCAGCGCCGTGGCTCAAAAGCATAGCCGCCACTTCCGTATGGCCGTATCGACATGCCATGTATAATGAAGTACCGTATTCTTTTTCTTTGTCCGTCAATATAACCCAGTTTCCTAAATTCAATGGTACCTTCCCAACAAGAAGACAGCTAACCATGTCGATATCGCCCTCCCTGGACGCCCAAATCAGAGCCTCAATGGCTTGGTTCATATCTGCCCCGGAATCTATTAAAAGCTTTACTACCGCATTGTTATGGCGTCTTACTGCCAGGCTGAAGAAAGTAGACATGACTTCTGGTTTCTGACTCTTTATATCGGCCCCGTTTGATACGAGAGTCTCAACGGCTTTTACAGGGCCGCCCAGAACTGCATTACCCAGAGCGTCAAGCGTATGTCGATTATCATAGGAGACTCTATTTATATCCGCTCCTGCTTGGAGAAGACTCTCCATGACAGCAATTCGACCATGCTGTGCTGCAATGGCAAGTGGTGTGACATTAAGGTAAAACGTGTTCGCGTTGAACCCCCGTCTAATGAGTAGGCTAACCACTGCTCGGTCTCCTTTGGCCGCCGCCACATGCAGAAGGCCCGAGAAGACTTCGTTCTGTTCCCTTCTCTGGGCCTCTGCCTTCTCTTTGGCCTGTATCATCGTCCTACCCTGTGTTTTCCTCTCAGCTTTTGTCTTTCCGGACTGTGGCTTCTCGATATGTGCCTTTTGGTTTGATAATTTGTTGAAAACAGCCATAAAAAGCGCTCGATACGTTTGATTCATCGCGTTCATAGCAGTTTTGGGCGAACACCCGTGTTCCCAGAGCTCTTCCATCTTAGGTGGGGGTCTGTCAGGTCCAATATGCATCCTGTCCTGATAATCACTCGATTTCGTCTAAAACTTGTTTGAAGATCTTGAACATCGGAGGTACCATATATCTTTTCATGCTCGGTATTTCCGAACCCGCTTGCAACAGGTGAAGTAATTTCCCGGCCTCCAAACTCCAAGGATGAAGGGCCATGTTGATGGGCCGACGAGGTGCGTTGCATGACCACTCTTGGCCGCATTCAGGGTCTACCCCGGCATCCAGCAACGCTTTTACAACCTTGGGCGTGCAAAATCTTGCTATTTGCAGAGGGAACATGTTCTGGCCACCTACGTCGTTAGCGTCGCTACCTTCCTTAAGCAGCATATATACTAAGGATTCCTGCCTATGAGTTTCCATGGGATCAAAACCATGTCGAAACCTGTTCAAGGCCGCTTGCAGTGCGTTGGCGGGGGTGTGACATTCCCTCCGAAGCAAATTCAAAGCTTTGCCAGGGGTTCTCCCATTGGACATCTCGATAGGTATCAGAGGGTGACTCGGGTTTTCTTGAGTAAGTACTTTCCGGAGGGGTTTGTAGTCTTTCAGGACTCCAATCTCCCCACGAGAGAACCGTTTCCCACTCAGATGTAGTCTCCCACTGTCTCTCTGCCGTCCATTCCCCATACTCTTCATACTCTGTGTCAAACTAAATGTCTTTGGGGCACTCTTGAGGTAAAACACAGTGAATGTCCCTTCCCAGGTCAATGCACAGCCTAGACGTATGGAGGTGTCCCGCGCTACATGCAATAATGAGAGCATGGTTAACAGTTGATTCGAAAAGAGGTCCATGTCAAAATCCCGTCAGGCTTTTAATTTGCTTCAGAATTCTTGTATAGCAATTTAGAGTCGCCAGGATAAACGCCTCTTGCAAGACGTGGCTTTGACTCTGGCCCTCCAGTGGAAGCCTCTTGGACAGATGGCGGAAGACGTTTACTTTGTTTAAAACCGCCGCAATGTAAAATCCCTGAGTGATTGTGTTTGGAGACGAGACAGAATTTGCGTGTATGCTCATCAATAGGACCAAAATAGTTGATTAGCATCCCTCCTTGCACGATGCAAGAAAGGCTCTCCGGACAATACTCGCAGTGTCTGAGCCACCGACTTCCAGCTTTACAAGCAACAATTCCAGGGTCTCCATGTTGCCCCGCTGTGGCGAGAGTCTGGAATGCCTGTGGGCGAAGTGTAGAAAGTACTGCAGCTTGTGTTTTACCGCAAAGGCTGCCAACGCCCGGTCCAAGTCTAACAAATCTTTGCTGATGGTTCTGCTATCCGTCAAACCAGGCAAATTGCTACCATTGAAGTCGTCAATCTCGACCCAGGCTTCCCAGATGCTTTCATCAAGAGACCCAACCCATTCGATAAACAAGTCTAGCGCGTCCTTGACGCCGCCTGATGTTGCGACTATCACTTCATGTACTATTTCGCCCGCCACAGAAGGATGAAGTTATGGCATGAAAGTGAGAAGCATCTTAATTATATCAGGATGTCCGGAAGACGTCGACTTTCTAAGCACATCCCATCAACTTCTGTCTGTTCTGCACAAGCGGTTTTTCAGATAGTCCTCTGAATAATAGCTTGGAGGTTGTGAAAGTTGTAGACGACTCGTGGCAGGCTTTTGCTGGGTTTGATTGTTTACGGTGGTAGGATGATCAGTCAATCCTAAATCCGGGCGTTGAATATTGGGGTTTAAAGTTTCTGGCCCGTCCTCATCTTGAAATGAAGCAATCGAAGATGTTTCAGACAGGCTGAGTTCTTTCGAACTATTCACGTCATGTTGATCGACGGGGTCCTCGTCACTCTCCTCGGTCTCAATGTCGCTATTTTTACCGCGAGCTATGGCAGGGAGATAAACGTCTTGGGAAACTCTCGTGACCGCCTTCGATCGCCGCGTGCAAAGCATCAGTGTACTTTCCATCCAGACGAATGTCTGCACCTCGTGCCAAAAGTAGCTGAACGCTTTCGGTATGTTCGCCGCGAGCCGCTGCTTGGAGTGCTCTGCCCCAAGACTGGCTTTTCTGATTCACATGAGCACCTTCGTCCAGCAGCAGATGGAAAACAGCCTTCTGTCCTTTCATAGCTGCTGCCTGAAGAGGACTGCCTTTCGTACCGCGAAAGTTGACGTCTTCACCCCAACCAATGAGAGAACGAACGACGGGCGTATGACCCATGAGGGAGGAACTTCGTATGGCCGCCCCAAGCTCTCCCTCTACAGAAGCACTGAGGCCTAGGTCCCGTAGAAATGCTACCATGTCCAAGTGTCCGTATGAGGCGGCCGTTGAAATTGCAGCAACAGGGAGCTTTTCTTTCAGTCGCGGCCTTGTCTCAAGAAGCGATCGCAGCAAGTGAACACGACCAGTCCTGACAACCGTTATCAGGGCGTTTTCGAAGATGTCTGACTTTGTTGAAGAAAACCCAAATGTTTTAACAGTTTCCGACTTAGATAGCCACTCCCACAGATCTTGAAAGCCGGCCTCGACTGACTTTTCAATAGCAAATTGGTAGATCCTTTGGTTCATGCGAACCTGTTTCGCTTGCACCAGCGTTGTGGCAGCAGGCTCATGGTTGCCCAAGCATGCCATACCAAGGGCTGCCTCAAGAATCTCCTCGGAGAGGAATAAGTTTTCTAGCACGAGTAAATTCATAATTATTTCAACATGACCTCGAAAGCAAGCGACTCGTAGCGATGATCCGTAACTTCCGCACTAAACACTAGGATCGGCCCCGCCCGCCAGCAGGGTAGAGACCACTAACCTGTGTTCTTTGACGTAAGCCAGATAAAGGGACGTGTGGCCTCTCTCATAGCGCGTCTCTAGGTTAATATCTTTTCCGTGAGTCAGCAAGCGATGGATCATGCTTCTCAGGCCAAAGAATGTTGCACCAAACAAAGGCAACATATCATCGGCGTATAGGGTTTCGAAGTCACCCCGCAGGTGGTGGTAAGGAGGTAAATCTTCCAAAACCTTGCAGATCCAATCGAGCGAGACAATGAAAGCAAGGCTGGAGCTATTACCATCATCGTCGCCGAAGACTAAAAGCTTGAGATCAGTTGCAAGAGCCTCAGGCAAGACTTCATCGACTTCTTCTGCAGCTTTGACGACGTTTCCTACCTTATCAACTACATTCTGTAAAATTATTTTGACCTTGGCGCGACTTTGCGCTGGTATCTCGTCCACAGCGTCGATGCCAATGTAGGCAGGGTTCGCATTAATTAGGTCCAATATTATTTTCTCACATTCTTCGAAACCAGACTAGTGAGACCCAACGCAACCCCAGTATCTTTTTGCTGCTGACAGTCAGACCATAGGATTCTGTTAACGGACTGTAGATCGGGGTACATAGATAGCTGTGTCACAATGCTTCGGAGTATAACACGGGCGAAGAACGTTCTGATTAGAAATAGAGTTTGCGCAGTAGAAATAGGAACATGGAGCCAGTTGCTGTCTCTGTTGGACGGAGGGAGAGAGTGTTTCGATAAGCTCGGCTAACATGGACGACTTGCCGCAGCCCCGCACGCCGTGGATGAGCAGGATAGCCGAACAGCTAGAATCGTGCCACTGTCGGTAGCTAGGATGACTATCTAGCCAAGAGTTGTTGTTTGGAATTAGATTCTGACGAATGCTTTCGTAGTGTTCCTTGATGCGTGGGAGACTAAGCCATGCCAAAAATTCCTTACGGTCTTGTGAATCCAAGGACAATTGCACCAACGCGGAGGCATCAAGCAGGCGACTCATCCTTACGTCGAGATCTCGCAGATTGTTAGCCACAGTAGCCTGATGATGTTAAGAGGTTTTAGTGACTGTCATGGTCGCTATCTGAAGGACTTCATTCTCCCACTTTTCCACGTCGCCTAAGTCAAGTACCATGGCAGATTGCCCTATTGCTTTGATAGCACGAACTAAAGTAGTCAGCCAGGGGCTCCAATAGATATTTAATATTTGATAGCTCGAAAACTTTACTTCTTGGCTTTTCAGGTAAGCTACAGAGCTCGATAGTAGACGCAGTATTTCCGAATATAAACGAGTCAGAGCCGCTGTCAAGAGACCAGAGATGTTAGATGCGACTCCAAGATACAGCCGTTCAAACACTCTGAAGCGGCATAGAAGCCGAGTGATGTTCTCAAGGACAATCAAGACCGACACATATGCCTGAATATCCCCAACAGCCACAGTAAGCAGAAAGCGCACAGCTGCCCAAGGAAGAGCGGTATGGACAGGGTTGTACTGAAAAGCGACGTCCCCGACAGCTTTGAACTTGTACATCCATCCGATGATCTTTCCCAGAACGTTGCGTAGGATGATCTCCCTACCACCTGACAGCTTCACTTTCCACTGCCTGCGAGAACAGGTTTGAAGTCTGCCCTCCGCCGCTTCTAGTACGGCTTGCAAGAAGTCGAGCTTTCTCGTCTGAATCGCTGAAAGTGCTGTCATTTGGTCATCGTCGAAGGTTTCAAACGAATTTTGCGAATAAGAATCACTTGACATTGCGCCGTCTACTTACCCGCGTGACCGTTTACTCTAATGTAGGGTGACTCAATAAGGCGTAGCTTTAGAAAGGTATTTGATGTTAAAACGATCAGGTCTCAATGGATAATACTGATCTAAATGAAAGTAGTTATAACGACGGAGGGTTAGGGGGTTCGACTGAGTCATTTCTTTTCTTTTGTATTAGTAGTTATCCAAAGCATCAGGCTACTCCATTATGTGCTCGTTTGGGGATAGTGGCGCTTGTTAGAAGCGCGTTGGGCCAGATGAAAAGTAGCTATACCTAGGCAATTTGTGGGTGTCTAATTAACTCAACCCGTTTATAAACAGTGCTGCAAAAACAAGCTTAGGTGGCTCATACTGCTTATCTTGCTTACTTTAAATCATATGACCTGTTGCCCAGCTATCCAATTTTTAACCAACCACCACCCCCCCCACTTTATAATAAGACCATAAAGCCAAAAGTTAAGTTTATAGTATTTATACTTGTTGCTGATGTAACAGAAAGTCCTGGAGCGGGCACTGTATCGCGGCGACATCTGATATTATGGCCTAGAGAATTGGCGATTCTCAGGTTGCTAAAAACCGTGGGCTATGTTCACAGATCGAGGCTGCTGCACCGGCTCTGTCGGCAATATAAACTGTGTGTGTTTCAGCCCGTCTGTACGGATCGAAGGCATCGTCACGCACAACCGTGGCGGCCGAGTTCGGAGACGACATTCCCTAAACTGATTGACTTCAGTCATTAGAGTGAGCCAATGCTGGTTTCGGAGGAAGTGACTCTGAAGCTTTCGCCTGTTAGTGATACACCCCTTCATCTGACTCGGTAATACGGAATACTTGCCTTGACTCTGGTTGCTTTTCACGTGAGGTCTTTGAATGCCTGTGAAGCATATGTTCTATCTGGTTCATCTGCTTCTTGGAGGTAGAGTCTCCTTGCGTGGCGGGTTGTTGCGTCTTAATGACAGGTGTTAACCCCTATCAATCAGGGGTTTGTGCAGATATCCTTTGGTTTTCTTTATCGCCTTCCCCGATTGGCCCCGGTAGTTCAACTGATACTTTGACGGATTGTGATCTCGACTCGATTTGTCTTGTTCTGGAGCCCTCTCAAACTCGTGAATCTTCTGCCGCCCATGTCATTGGTCATCATTATCTGAGCCTGGCTGCTGTCCCCCGTCGCCACGGCTTTCTTGCTTAAGGCCGGGAATTCATTGACAATCTCCGGAAGTTCTGAAAACTGAGAAGACAATTGATTGGGTTGCTTCCAGAGCAGCGTCCCCCGTCGGCTTCTATCTTCAGTCTTGGGGCTTGCAGATGACACATGGAACGGATTCTTAATGGTGCTTCCTGCGTCCTGGTTGGAGACATTCCTCAAAGATGCCGTTTCTGTTAGACATAAGGGATCTTCATGCCTATCTTCAAGATGTACTCGGGGGCTGGTGCCAGAATCAATTGGATTGGGACCTTCAGCTTCCTCCGATGTCTCCTTCCTTTCGTGAGCATGATATTTGGATGATCCCATGGCTCCTCCAGCAGGTGGGGCAGCAGTAGACGTCTTAGAAGGCGTGCCAGTTGCGGACTTGAATGCATTGACTGCATTGTTCAATATACCTGTCAAAGTGCTTGGCTTTTTCGTCGGGGGCATTATTTACCGGCTCTCCATTTTCTTCGTAACGGTCCATTCCACTCCTAGTCTCTGGAGTCTCCGGCTTGGAAGGATCAGCAATTTTCTGCAGTGAAATATGTTGGCTGATAAGGTTTTGCTTCAGGTTTGCTGGCAAGCCGCCATCATCAAGCCATTGCAGTTTTACGACTAGTTCACCATTGGTAGTTGCTTCTTGTGTAGTCTTGTTTGTTTTCGCTGCCTCTAAGGTGCGTATGGCACATAACACATCGTCCGGTAGTCTGTTCTTGACGCCCACTCCCCCAAGCCGATTGATCTCACTTACGATGCCATGTGTGCGACTTTTTAACTTTCCGCACACCACGATTTTTTGTCCGCTTTCCGACACCGTGTAATCGTTGATCGATGTAAAGACGTCTCATACCATCGCGGGACCCACATTGTCATCTTGCTCCTTTTATGGGACGATGTTCACTCAAAATCAAGCTGTCAAACAGATCATCATGATCATTATCAGGTTTGCATATTCATTTGACGACAAGCAGCTACTAGCATTGAATAAATAATGAACATAACATTGAAAACCATACTCGAAAATGAAAAACTCAGGAAGGGGAAGGCTATTCAGTGAAAATACACACGCGAGATTTCCATCCCAAAAGGGCATTTCCCGGATGTTCTCTACTCGAATTCTGCGCTTTGCTAGTGTGGAATGATGTACCCCTGACCGAATGATATTCTACTTTACCACGTGCTGGTCCAGAAACCCGTTCTCTGTGGCACGTCGAAGAGTAGTTGTCTCATCCAAAACCTCAACATATCCTACCCTGAAGACCCGCGTCTCAATCCCAGCTTGGATCACGAACTTATAGATAATATAGGTAAACTCTACCTTTGCGCTAACTAAGACTTTAAGGATAATGGAATGTACTAGGGAGTAAATATAACATACTAAGAATAGCTAATAAATCGACTCTATTAGAGTCTAGGATAGAATTTCGCATAGGAGCCTATATTAATGCTTTCTTTTCCTATAAGACTGTATTTACTTAACATAGTCTAGTATCTATGATAAATATAATAACTAATAAAAGACCATTAGCTTCGGATAGACAACATAAATATATAAGAGTACTTATCCTTTCTATGAGTCTGATATTAGAAATATGTGTAACTTACGTGGTCGTCGCCTAGAGACGTTAGTTGAGATAACTGGGTCGTGGCCAACCGGTCTTGCGCTTGCAGCTCCGGAATACAGAATAAAATGACTCTTCTCGTTTGTCGCTATAAAATCTCTCGAATCGTCCGCTGAAATCTTTCTGAGCTTTCATCTCTTGCCTGTTTTGGAAAGCGCGCTGAGCGAGAAACATAGCGCGAGAAACAGCCCCAAAGGTGCCGCAGCCCTCAACAACCAGGATGACGGCCTTAAGATTTTTGAGGTGAATATCCTGTTCATATGGCCCATCTAGGAAGACTTTTTGCGATACCGCTACCAGATCGCTGCCATCATCTGTCTCAGACACTGCGTATGCTCCTTTGAGTGGCTGGGCAAGCCAAGATACCTCGTTTTTCTCAGCCCTTTTGAAGATGTCATATTCCGTTGTGTGCACGGCTTTTTTGATGACGAAGTGCTATTCTGAATGTCTTTTTTGACAAAGCTGTTGTGGTCTAGGGAGCTGAAGCTGATCAGGAAAAGAACGACCCACAGGTTTCCATAAACACAAGATGGCTGGTATTCCGAATAACTTATAGAATTGTCTATTTTGGAGACAAAGATAGAATTATGTGCCTGGATGGCCATTTATCTTCTCAACTAGCTGAATACGTATGACTGTAGCACTATGGAACTCTTTTATGTAACTTGTCGTAATGCTAGCGGGAGGCACTATTGATATATTATACCTATAGATATCCTGCTTAACGACGGTCATTTGTATCTATATATATCGTCCAATCTTAAATGGTCCGACTACCTGTTGGACTGATACTTTTAATAACGAACTTCCTGTCGTAGTGGCGCCCTCTCTGGGTGCTTGGACTGAACCCAGTTGCCACTTTATAATACGTGTGTTTACCATCTCGTTTGTCTCGCGGAACATGTTAACAAAGTCCTGCAATACTACCGCTATAACGAGCGGGTCATCATCCGGGACATAGCTTCCCCGAGTCGATACCAACAGAACAATACTACAAAGCAATGCCAAACCAAAGGATGCCCACGTTAGCACGAATATGGCGCTTCGGTATGATGAGTTTGTGTTTGAGTCCCAACCCATGAGTAGCACCAGCGGCGGGATTATGCCAATACACAAACGAGTAGCAATGTTGCTTACCACGCCCGTGGTGAAGATGCGACGTCCTAGGATAGGTAGGTCATGAAAACGCCAGGACGAGAAGATTGTGTGCCCCTGGAAGAGATTCTCAAGCTGGAGAATTCTAAGGGGGTTCCTGTGGAGGGCGGACCAGCGGTAGATGTGCATCATCTGCTCGAAGGCAGCGGCGATAGCGAGACCGTAAAATGAGACGAGAATATTTAAGCTGATCCGTGCGCCCGGGAAACCGAATATTTGGTCCATGGGGAGGCATTCATCAGCATTTTCGGGCCTTCGGTTATTAATATTCTGCAACCACACTTGAATACCAATAGCAAGTATGAGGGAACCCGCTATAGGCAGCGCCAACCTCTTTACATGCGATAGGAGAAATGATTTGTTATGCTCTGTACACAAATCGAATGCGACCTTAGCGTCAGCCTCTAACGAGCGATGTTCTGTTGGATCGCAAGGTGCGAATTCGAGAACAAGCTGACCGTTCATGTCGGCGCGGATGGCACGGAAACGCTGGGTTCTACTAAGCTTAGCAACGATTTGCTTGGTAGTAGCCATGGTTCCTCGTTGCTGGAGAGGCTTGATGACCTTGGAAAGAGAGATTGCGATAGTCAGCATAGACCGCGGGACGCCATCTGTCCTGGGGACAATGAACAGCAAGGCGATCAAGCAGACGAGCACTAATCCCAGCGAGAGGACACCGCTACCAACGAGCAGCTGCACAAAAGGCTGCGAACTTGACTTGCTCTCGTCTGACATGATCTCGTGTGACATGATCTCGTCTGACCTGCTTTCGTCGTCACATTGTACTCCGTATCCGCCGAAGAGAAACTAGAAGCCTAGAGGAGGACCAAGCTTCAGAGCGAAAGAGAACAGTGCAACCATCCTTGCCCGCATGGGACCTAAAATGAGGCTCTTGGATGCGGGAAGAGCACTGTCGCTCCGAAGTATTTGTCTTATATCCTTCAAGGAGAGGTCTTTCCTTTGCACTGCGGCCCATTTCATGGCCCAACAGAAGTGTAGCGCACCGAGGTCAACCATCGTGACAGACATCACGTTGGTCAGAGCACTGAAAAAAGCGAGCGTAGACAAGTTTGGCGTCCTTGTCTCTGTTGACTGGTTGTTCCATATCGCAAGTATCAACGAGCTGAAGAAAAAATAAATGACTAAAATAAATATGACATGACCGAACAAAAGAGAGGCTACATTTTTCCTGCTTATTGAAGCATCACGAAGCCCGGCAAGGTACCGCCACGCATCCGTCGAACGAACTTCGCACGGTGGTTGGATGGCCCCAGTTATTGACCAATCTGTCCCTGGCATTGTGCGATTTTGGAAAGTAGCTGTTGATGGAAATCCTTGCATAGTCGTCGACGTCAATGATAGCCAATGTAATATGAAGCTAAGAAAGAAGAAAATATTACCGAGTCGACACTTTAAATACTCTGGGCTTGCGGATGTGGCACGAAGCTACGGCCGGGCGCAGATTTCAGTCTATGCGTTCAGCTAAAGATCTCTAGCTGGTATTCTGAAAGCCCTGTAATTTCTATTGTCTTGCTATCGCTAAAGTGTAAATAGAATTACCCTTGCAACCTGAGTTTGCGGCTGGGAAACGTGTTAGGTAAAAGCAGAGCGCCACTCCGCTTTCGTAGACTTAGAGGAAAGTTGGTGGCGTCACAACGGAACCAAGCAAAAGGACAAAATTCGTAGTAAAAGTGATGTGTCTAGGGTAAGTTCTTCTATGCCCCACGTGTCGCTCGCGGCTCTTGCTCGCCCTGTACACAAAATATGATTTCACGCAAAAGACTTGGATTGCCGGATTGCCAAGGCCCGCAACAATCCGATTTACCCAATGCAAAAGGAGTGATATCTACGTCTGGGCAACTTATCACCGTTATCCACCGGGTGCATCCCGGCCCTGCTCCCAAACGTTGTATCATGCGACATATCGGATTACGCGATTCGGAGGAAGCTGTTTCGACAACACATCGAATTGATAAGCGTGGCAGCCCCAGCATGCAGACTTTCTGCCGATGGACATGTTAGACAAACCACTTTCGGCGCCCGTATGGGGAGACTTTCGGGTGGACACCCGAGCGGGACGGCTTTCGGCGCGCACGGGCCATGTTCGGGGCTACGCCTTCGGGCCAAATCCTCTCGGGGACAAGGAACGACCCCAAGCATGCAGTTGAGGAGCGTAGGAAAACGGAGACCACACTTTCATAGTCATTTTTAACACCCTGTAGGAACCGTCCGTGGTCTACTTAATCGTACCTTGCTATAGCCGCCGTCTGACTCGGTATCAGCCGGTGGAGTTACGCAACCGATCACGAATCATTACGAACTGTGCTCTTATACGCAACCGACAAGATGACAATATCTAATATCAAAGCCGCAAGGATGGATAACTTCATGAACATGACCGAGGATGTCGGGCACAGCCCCGAGCTCCAGCGTCTTCGTGACCTCAACGCCGTCTACTTCGACGCGTTGGACCACAAGCTCGCCGTGGCGCCCGTCAACCTCGACGAGCCGGGAAAAAGTATCCTCGACTCCGGCACTGCTGATGGTTAGTAGCACCCTTGAGACAGTCCCTACTCTCCCTCCCACCCCTGACAGTGATGTTGATGATCCCCCCCAAAAAATGAGGCATCTGGCTCCGCGACCTGCGCAGCACCGTCACGGCGGAGCACGAGTACTTCGGCAGCGACATCGAGGGCGAGCTCTTCCCCTCCCAACCGGACGGCATCAAGTACTTCCAACACTCATTCAAGGACCTGTGGCCGCAGGACCTGTAGAGCACCTTCGACCTCGTCCACGTGCGCGGCAGCCTCTCGGGCTCCAGCCCGTCGCGGCCGACAGAGGTCGTCCGGAACCTCGCGACGCTTGCGAAGCCTGGCAGCTGGGTACAGCTGCAGGAGATGAACGCCTTCACGGCGCCGCCCAACGGGCCCGCCATAACCGACTTCGCGCGCATGGCGTCCGAGAACTGGACGGGTATCGGCGTCGGCGATTTCGCCAACGAGCTGGCGTCCTACCTGCGCGAGGGCGGCCTGAAGAACGTGCAGAAGAGGAGGGTCATGTGCAGGCTCGGGAAAAGTACGAAACCGGAACTGCGCGAGCAAAGCGTTAACGGGGTCACGGGGCCAATCGAGCCGCTCGTGTCCTTCGCGCGGAGCGTCAAGTTGTCCTTCACCGGGGATGAGCGTTCAGCCATGAAGAGCAGGGTGAAGGCCGAGCTCAAGAACAATGGCGGCATCATCGAGGTGGTCATTGCCTTTGGACAGCGGGAGTGAGGGCGTGTGTGCTCTGCTAGAAGAAGGGGTTTTGTGGCATTGGGTTTAGACATGGGTAGAAGCTTGATAACGATCAAAGAGACTGGCCAAAGCCGCGTAACCTGGCTGTTCCCTGAGATTACGAGTTCTCTACGGAGAACAAAAGTCGTAATACTCTGCATGCAAGAACATGTCATGAGTAAGCGGCCCCTGCATCGCATATGGATTGGTTTGCTGAGTTATGCCTTCTTTTATGTAGCCTTGATATCGCGCGGCACCCTGTACCTAGCCACAAAAGTTGGTCACTCTCTTGGTGCGACTCAGCGCGGTTCACAACCCCTCCCCCGGATCGTAAGTGACGAGGTTGTTTGAGTTGGTTGGGGGCTAGTCTATCAGCTCGCCGTAGATGGCACGAAGGGGTGCGTATTATCTATAGATAATCTTAATTTAAGGGCAACCAAGTGTATTAAATTACCTGTTCTCAGCAGAGTACTTTGATTTAATATAAGCTCCATTATGGCGCGTCTCTAATTTTTGACTAATTTCTCCATCTAGAAAACGAACCTCTAGACTCTTTCTTCTCCTGCGATCTTTAGTTGTTGTACTCTGAACGTGTTCTCTTTTAAACTTGCAGTACCACCCTATCGCTTTCCGACGGCACGATTGTCCGTTGTATGGTGGTCTTCTTGGCTATGACTCTGGGTCTGTTGAAGAGCCACAATTGATTGGCATTTTGGAGTCGGTTTATCGCGAGACTTTCTAAGTCTGCGTGTGGTAATGTTCTGAAACTGCTCTTTCTGAGTTTGTGTTGCCCTGAAGATTTATATTCATACAAGTCTGTTATAGAGTTATATTATAAGGCTGGGTAGTATAGTCTAGATAAAATAAGATTCAATACTACTTAAGATGATATCTTGAGTTATTTCATTTATAGTTACATGGAAGCTGAGTTAAGTAATACTAATATATAGCTGTTGAATATAAAATATATAACTTAAGCCTACTACTTTTTTAAATAATAAAGTGATTAGATATGCTTTTAGTAAGAATATTAAGAATAGCTATAGTAAGTATTATAGATACTTTTAAATAGATAGAAAGAAGGAAATGGTTTCTACTTTATTATTTTTATCTAATTATAACACGCGGCTTTATTAGTAGTTAGGTATTACTATTTAGGCGTATTACTATTACGACCCAACCAATCAGGGTGTTGGCCGATGTAGCTATATAGTGTAGAATAGGGAATAATGATAATAAATTTATTATTACCGAAGCTTTTGCTTTGTGCCAAAGTTGGTTGCCCTGACCTCCTTGTAACAATTACCTCTGGTTGTCTCTACTTGAGTCTGTGACGCAGAGACAAGTAGTTGCCAGAACTAAATTGATACGAAGGGGGATAATGATAGGTGAGAAAGCAGTGGTGAGCTATTTTGAGTGCTGCGGAGAAGAAGGGTCTTAAGAGGGCGAAGGTTGTAAGGTTGAAGTCGACAGAGGCCAACAAAGGTCGTAATAGTCGCTAGCCAGGCGATATGCGAGAAAGAGAAAAATAAAGAATAAATTAACTTAGAGATTAACATTACTTAAAAGAATAAAATAGTTATAATAAGTATATAAGTAGTATTAAAATAGAAGTTCTTTTCATCAGGACTTAATATGTAACTTAATAAAATAAGATGTATAACGTACATGATAAGCGAGTGAGACAGACAAGCGAGTGAGACAGTAAACCGCGACCGTCGCACCTTGACGCGACCGGCACCTTTTCCTCTACAATAAATCATGGAATCAGCTAGTATTGAAAGAAGGTTACAAATTGCCCTTCAAGCAATGAGAAATGACCCAAAACTTAGTGCTCGGGCCGCAGGTGCACTCTATACAGTCAGTCACGCAACATTAAGCCGGCGACTAAAGGGAATAGTCTCACGACGCGACAGCATGCCTAATTCACGGAATTTATCAGATTTAGAAGAGAAGACAATAGTTGAGTATATTCTCGACCTAGATGCGCGATCATTTCCTCCCCGGCTGAGTGGTGTGGAAGAAATGGCCAATCGACTTCTCGCAGAGCGCGACGCGCCTCCAGTTGGGAAGCGCTGGGCTTCTAATTTCGTCAAGCGACAACCACAGCTTAGGACGCGTTTCTTTCGCAAGTATGACTATAAGAGAGCTCAATGCGAAGATCCAGAGGTGATTCGTGGCTGGTTTTCGCTTGTGAAGAATACAATTGCGAAGTATGGTATTGCTGATGCTGATATCTACAACTTTGATGAGACCGGCTTTATGATGGGCGTTATTGCTTCTGGAATGGTTGTTACAAGTGCTGAAAGGCGTTCAAATACGAAGATGACACAGCCTGGCAATAGGGAATGGGTTACAGTTATCCAGGCTATTAATTCCCAAGGGGAGAGCATCCCGCCATACATCATCGTTGCAGGCCAGTATCACCTCTCAAGCTGGTATACAGAAACCTCTCTTCCGGGCGATTGGGCTATTGCAACGTCTGAAAATGGATAGACAACAAACGAGAGAGGTATTGACTGGATCAGATACTTCGACATTTATACAAAACCACGTACGTCTGGGAAATATCGCCTCCTCGTTGTTGATGGTCATGAAAGTCACCACTCCGCAGCCTTCGAGCTCTTTTGTCAAGAAAACAACATTATTACACTGTGCATGCCGGCTCACTCGTCTCATCTACTTCAACCCTTAGATGTTGGTTGTTTTCAGCCGTTAAAGAATGCCTACGGTCGGCAAATTGAGAATAAGATGCGGCGAGGCACAACCCATATCTCGAAGGAAGATTTCTTTGCAGCATTTCACGAAGCTTTTAAGCAGTCTTTTACGAGGAAAAATATCCAGGGAGGTTTCCGAGGAGCTGGACTTGTCCCTTTGAATGCAGAAAGTGTTCTCTCAAAGCTGGATGTAAAGTTCCGAACGCCAACGCCTGAGGAGGGGGTCCCTCAGACACCAGACCCTTGGATCTCTAGGACGCCGAGCAACCCAAGCGAAGCAAGATCACAGTCTACTTTTATTAAGAGTCGAATCTCACGCCACCGAAGCAGCTCTCCAGCATCAATTTATAGTGCTGTGAGTAAGCTAGCCAGAGGGACAGAAGGACTAGGGCATCGGGTAGCATTACTAGAGTCAGAGGTTCAAATCCTTCGAGAGGAGAATGCAATATTAAGTCGGCGTCGAAGGGCTAAGAAAACACGTCTACAGAAAGGAGGAAGTCTTACTATATCTACTGGAGAGGATATACAGTCGCAAAGAGAGGCAGACACGCAACTACAAGAGGAAACGCGACGGAGTAGTGGTCGCAAAGTGAGGTCTGAGACGACTCATCGTCGGTGTGGCGTATGCGGGAATACAGGCCACAACGCGAGAACATGTCAATTTATTGAGGAAACATCCGAAGAACAGGAATCCGAGTAGTATTAATCAATCTAAGATTTCTTGTTATAGATTTCGATATTATTGTCGCGAAGGTCTGGTTTACTGTCTCACTCGCTTGTCTGTCTCACTCGCTTATCATGTACGTTATTTCTAGAGAAAATTAATAAATTAGACATTAAAAATTAAATAATAATTAAAATAGCTAAAAATAAATTAATATACACTATAGATAACGTACATGATAAGCGAGTGAGACAGACAAGCGAGTGAGACAGTAAACCAGACCTTCGCGACAATAATATCGAAATCTATAACAAGAAATCTTAGATTGATTAATACTACTCGGATTCCTGTTCTTCGGATGTTTCCTCAATAAATTGACATGTTCTCGCGTTGTGGCCTGTATTCCCGCATACGCCACACCGACGATGAGTCGTCTCAGACCTCACTTTGCGACCACTACTCCGTCGCGTTTCCTCTTGTAGTTGCGTGTCTGCCTCTCTTTGCGACTGTATATCCTCTCCAGTAGATATAGTAAGACTTCCTCCTTTCTGTAGACGTGTTTTCTTAGCCCTTCGACGCCGACTTAATATTGCATTCTCCTCTCGAAGGATTTGAACCTCTGACTCTAGTAATGCTACCCGATGCCCTAGTCCTTCTGTCCCTCTGGCTAGCTTACTCACAGCACTATAAATTGATGCTGGAGAGCTGCTTCGGTGGCGTGAGATTCGACTCTTAATAAAAGTAGACTGTGATCTTGCTTCGCTTGGGTTGCTCGGCGTCCTAGAGATCCAAGGGTCTGGTGTCTGAGGGACCCCCTCCTCAGGCGTTGGCGTTCGGAACTTTACATCCAGCTTTGAGAGAACACTTTCTGCATTCAAAGGGACAAGTCCAGCTCCTCGGAAACCTCCCTGGATATTTTTCCTCGTAAAAGACTGCTTAAAAGCTTCGTGAAATGCTGCAAAGAAATCTTCCTTCGAGATATGGGTTGTGCCTCGCCGCATCTTATTCTCAATTTGCCGACCGTAGGCATTCTTTAACGGCTGAAAACAACCAACATCTAAGGGTTGAAGTAGATGAGACGAGTGAGCCGGCATGCACAGTGTAATAATGTTGTTTTCTTGACAAAAGAGCTCGAAGGCTGCGGAGTGGTGACTTTCATGACCATCAACAACGAGGAGGCGATATTTCCCAGACGTACGTGGTTTTGTATAAATGTCGAAGTGTCTGATCCAGTCAATACCTCTCTCGTTTGTTGTCCATCCATTTTCAGACGTTGCAATAGCCCAATCGCCCGGAAGAGAGGTTTCTGTATACCAGCTTGAGAGGTGATACTGGCCTGCAACGATGATGTATGGCGGGATGCTCTCCCCTTGGGAATTAATAGCCTGGATAACTGTAACCCATTCCCTATTGCCAGGCTGTGTCATCTTCGTATTTGAACGCCTTTCAGCACTTGTAACAACCATTCCAGAAGCAATAACGCCCATCATAAAGCCGGTCTCATCAAAGTTGTAGATATCAGCATCAGCAATACCATACTTCGCAATTGTATTCTTCACAAGCGAAAACCAGCCACGAATCACCTCTGGATCTTCGCATTGAGCTCTCTTATAGTCATACTTGCGAAAGAAACGCGTCCTAAGCTGTGGTTGTCGCTTGACGAAATTAGAAGCCCAGCGCTTCCCAACTGGAGGCGCGTCGCGCTCTGCGAGAAGTCGATTGGCCATTTCTTCCACACCACTCAGCCGGGGAGGAAATGATCGCGCATCTAGGTCGAGAATATACTCAACTATTGTCTTCTCTTCTAAATCTGATAAATTCCGTGAATTAGGCATGCTGTCGCGTCGTGAGACTATTCCCTTTAGTCGCCGGCTTAATGTTGCGTGACTGACTGTATAGAGTGCACCTGCGGCCCGAGCACTAAGTTTTGGGTCATTTCTCATTGCTTGAAGGGCAATTTGTAACCTTCTTTCAATACTAGCTGATTCCATGATTTATTGTAGAGGAAAAGGTGCCGGTCGCGTCAAGGTGCGACGGTCGCGGTTTACTGTCTCACTCGCTTGTCTGTCTCACTCGCTTATCATGTACGTTAGTTAGTTTCAAGAGTATTTTACTTACAAATATTAGTAGTTTTCTTTTCTAAGAAATTAACTATTAAATATAAAATCTACATGTCTTTACTCTAACCTCACTTATCTTAACTAATAGGCGCTGTCTAGAGACCTTGAAGAAGACCTTCCATATCGGAAGGTACAGATAAAACAGGAGAATGACTATAGCATAGTACTTTAAGCAACCCTATCCTTCGTACTTCGTGTCTACCATACATCCCAGCATGCAGCACTTAGCTCTACGAAGCCTTCGTCATCTTCCATCGCTGTAGAGACTGTCTGAGAATACATTCTCACAAGACGCCAAGATGCAGCTGTAGGAGGCCAGATGCATGGCCAGACTTGAAACAAAGTTAAGGGGGCGCCATGTCTCAACGACGCTGCGGTACCGGCACTTCTATTGGCACTACCGCGTCAACGTTCAGTTAGTGACGCGCGGTGATCTTATAACCACCCTTTCCATGCATGCCAAGCCGCGGATAATGATACGTGCACATAGGACCTAATCATTCCCTTTGCACATGCGTGGCAATGAGCATATAAAGAGTCAGTATTTTGCTGCCCATTTTAGCAACTCAACTTTCTGATTTTTCCACCACAATCAGATGGCTTTCACTTGTGGTACATGCTGGCAGACATGGCCTACATGGAGGTCTCGCGATCAGCATGTGGCCGCCAAATTTCATGAGGTTCCCGACTTTGAATGCGACAGTTGCGACCGCTATTTTCAAAGTCAACAAGCTGTCGAACAGCATATGAACGCTCTTGATCACTGGGCTGAGTCGGCTTCTGATGAAGCGGATTACTACTGCGACTACGACTCCTGCTCGGAGGGTTTTGGTGATGAGGAAGAGCTGAGAAACCACGAGATCGAGGAACATTTCTACTGTGACTCATGCGACCGAGAATTCCAAGACTTGAATAGCATCAAGATGGTATGTCATAGATCCAGAAGCCACTATATATATCTAACGCCTGTAGCATCGCAATAGCAAGCAGCATCGCGGTACAAATGTATCTTGCTCTTTCTGTCACGGTTCATACGTGACTGCAGGCGGCGTTTTTCATCATCTTGAACAGGGTGCATGTCCGAAAGCTCCCTTGGACCGAATCAAGGTTTACGAAGCAGTTAGACGCAAAGACCCAAATGACCTGTTAACCGAGCGACTGCTCGAGTGGTCTGTTCCAAGCAGTTTTGAGGCGACTCACAAGTCCTACAATGCTCAGGCTGAAGCTTTTGAGTGTTTCCTGTGCGGAAATCTTTTCAAACGCCTCAATTCACTTAATCAGCATCTTAACTCGCCTAGGCATCAACAGGATCTATACCACTGCCCGAACCCACGTTGTGATAAGAAGTTTGGGACTTTGGCTGCTGTTGGCAACCATTTAGACAGTGAAAGCTGTAACTTTATGCGCTTTGACGATGTTCAGGAGACGGCCAAACGGATTTTTGACCCTGGCCGCATGATCGCTTTTTAAGTTGAATTTCATAAGAAGAAGCAGTATTCAATTATTACAGCCTACAATTAGTCAATAACGGGATCTTCTACACTGATACGTTGGCGGAGAGAAAGGTCCGAAGTCGAGTTGGTTGCAGAGATAGTGAAGAAGTGGCAACGGTGATTGGTTTGTGGCCTGCAGGTTTCTAAATACTCGATTTCTCACCGCCACGAAAAAGAAACATAATATGCGGGAGGCCGTGCATTCCCTACTTCTTCAATCTAAATATTCATTCTTCAGGACCCTAGAATTGTTCATCTAGTTACTTTCTCTACTTTTCGATAAAGATCTTGCCTCTAATCAACAACTCCAATTTCCTAACCACAAAGCTCGACGTAACCCCCTCTCTACTAGCTAAATCCTATCGATAACGACGTCTTGCGTAAATCAATACTTACTATGACTCCTCAATCTTCAAGGCTCCGATCTGGAAGCCATTCGCTCCGCATCGATGCTATAATCAACCCCTCTTACAAGCTTTTCCTACCTCTAGAAGATCGACTAATTACGAGAGTTAAATTATCACACATTTACCTTTGACTTAGCTCTATGCAGCGGGAGATCTGAGTTCTGCAAAGTCCTCCCTAATTGAAACTTTAATAGAAACCCTATTTCTCGTGGCTAAGGACTATGCATTCGATACATGACCCAGAAAACACATGGTCGCGAAGATCACTCACGTATCGAAATTAGTATTATTGCAGGACTACAAGCCTCGCTAAAGAAGAGGAAAGTCCTGAAGTACAACTACAGCAAAGTAGAGATAACTACACAGCTTCGCACTAGCATCATCGCTATTTTAAATAAGGTATATATATACTCCCACTTTAACTTAGTCTGCATAACTCATACTTCAAAAAGTCAACACTCTTCTAGACATCAGAACAGCTAGTAACACGACTCATAATAAAACGTTTTCTAAATACGTACTTAAGATTGAGAACGGTGGTCTGGATGAGGGCTACGTGACTATCATCGATGTTCTCGACATCATTCACACAACAGAAGAAGGGGTTCACTACCAAGGAGGACAAAGAACTTGTTCAGGATGTGGAAATTTCTATTCAATGAGTCAGGGTATGCGACTTCTCTGGCCGATTTTGAGAATTGTCGCTACCACCATTTGCTGACGGGTTGAAAATCTATGGACACATGTCTCTGGCTGGAATTTTTGAAAGTTCGAAGCTGACTCCGATTTCGTTTAATCCTCTAACTAGCAACGATGTCCATGGGGTTCTGTGTCATCATGTTCCATCCCTGGTAAGGGGCGTCCTGGTGGCAGAAACAATCTCTCGGCAGGATGTTGGCATTCGTGACGACGTTGTGTATTAGAAGCTCGCAGCAGTTCGCAGACCGATCCGAGGGTTGCTGCCGCGTGTTCTGTGGGACGAAAAGCACAGTTCCGGCGTGCGAGCCGGCAACGGTGACCAGTCCATTCCAGCCGAACTCATTCAGTCGCTCAATGAGGTATCGCAGGTTCCCCACGGCATCGAACATGATGCCCCGGCTCCAGGAGTTGGTCGCCGCCTCGTTGCCTTGGCAGGTGACGCTATACCTAGCAGATGTGCCGACCTGGTTGGTGGACTCATAACAGTAGCAGTCTTGAGTTATGCCTTCAGGGTCGTTTCTCACCGCAGTGCACGTGCCAAGGCGCAAGGCACGCTTACTGAGAGTCTTCTTGGTCATGTCGCGTGGATGTAGCCGTGGAGAACCTGGCTCACCTTGTGAGCGTTGCAGCTTGGCCACGGCGGCATTGAGAGCAGCGTCTTCTCGGGCCGCTAGAGCTGGATCGTCCTCGAACTTCTTCTCGAGCTCTTCAAAGTCGAGGGTGGCGAGATGCGCTGCAAACTCGTTCGTTGAAGGGTCCTCGGCTTGTCCCCGGACATCATGGCTTGTGTTGTCGACACTTCGTCTATAGGGGTTCCCCACGTCACCGTGAAAGTAGTCCGAATGCGCTACAGTAATCAACGGGTTTTTGGCACTGCCTCTCCAATCGGAGGCTCCCCAGCAGATGCCATGAGAACCATCGGCGGTCATGAAGGCGGTTTGGATAAGACCGGTGACGAGTTGAGAGCCAGTAATGCTGGTCGTGAGTCCCCGGTAATTAGAGATTTCGATGACGCATCGTGATTGACCCCAGCGAATATAATTGCCGGACTGGACGGTCACAGTTCGCGAACCCCAACCGTCAAACGCCTGTGTCAAAACCCAAAGACATGTGCGAAGGTTGAATCCGCGGGCGCATTGATAATTAGAGGATACAAAGTTATCCACAAACCACTCTCCCCTAACAACCGAGAGCTAAAGTAGCCGGCGGTTAGTATAAGGCAAACAAGTCTATTCAAACGTAGAAACATCGTCGCTTTTGGTGAAGAAACAACAAAGATGGAACTTGCTCAAAAGAAGGCGTTGATTGACAACGGTAGAAAATCGAAGTGAAATATGTAGATGCGCAATATATATCTTCACATTTAATTCTACACTGAGGCACATCGTCAGTACTCCAATGATTATTTCGGACAGGAGAAGCGGAAAACAAACGAGTGAGTTCTTAGACCTATCTTCAAACAGGTGAAGAGCTGAGACGGGCCTTACTCATCGCCGCTGCAGAATTGGCAATAAAACAGCTGTCGCAGTTGAAAATTGAAACCCTTTCCAGCGTGTTTTGCGACGCTACATGAATCCCAGGGCAGGTATTGGACGGAAGTATGTCAGACGATATAGGCTATTGGACAATGTAGGCTATTGGCCGGAAAACTACTGTGGTCATGTCAGACATTCAGAATAACATTTCCGTTAGTCCTTGCTAGTGCAGTGGGGCCGCTGCGGAAAGCTTCTGTCAGATAAAGTTTACGGCACCTTACGGATTATACGAGTAGAAGTTTTGTCTAAACTTCTGGGCGAAGATCAACAGTTCACATCAACAACATCCTCATTCATACGTGAACGCGAGTTGAGTGCATCCCAATGACGAACGACGAAGAAGGTCGTAGGACGTCTAAGTTATGCACAAATTGAAATTAACAAGAAAAAGAGCACCTACGTATTCCGTTGATTACTATAATGGGACGATACAGCCTATCTATGAGAAATAAACGACTGAAAAGTAGCCTATACCGAGCAATAAAGAGAATTACAAGCAATCATCGGTTTAAAAATCATCTCCGCAACGATGATTCTATATTTGCCGTAATATATTCTCTGCTATATCGGTCAGTATTTACTTATACCTTAAAGAAAAATAACTTATAATGTAAAATAGGTTGGCAAGAAAATCAAGTGGAAACCGAGATGTTCAGTGTGCATTTCTGAAACCAACAAAACACTACATGATGTTCATCCAATATTATAACCAATCCTGGCCTGTTTAGAACTGGAGCTATACTGACTTAAAAGCGACGTGTTACCGCTATCATCTCCCGTTCATTGACCCAAGAGGAGCGGAATTACGATGCAGCTGAACGTGAATTGCTGGCAGTCGTTTATTCGTTGGATAAGTGCATCTGTCTATTAGAAAACGCCCCTTTAGTACTAGTGCTTACTGATAACATGATCAATACCGCCATACTTAAATCCTGTCTATCCCTCATCAACTCAACACCTTGCCACATGATACCACAGTCATGCATTACTGTCTTTATCGCGGCCATGCAGTTCCTCAAGGCTATTCTCGTCTTTAACTCCTCCCAGTTGCTGCGGGTTCGGCTGCCATTGAGCCGAGAGCGGCATCTTTGTCCATCATCCGATTACTGTTAACTCAACACCATCATTTCGCCCTTTCAGATGGGAAACAATCTAAATCCAAACTCTAAACGCTGGACTCCAGTCAAGATTCTCAACTCTGGCTTATATTAGCATATCTCTTCTCCCCACAATTGCTAAATCATGGCGCCCAACTACTGGCAACCTCGTCGTATTTCCCAAAGTTCCTACAACTTGAGGTTGGTCGCGTCGCATGAGGCTATGAATATGAACCTCAGAATCGGGGCTATGAACTTCGTCCTTGCAGGCTATTAAACTACTTCTCCTTTCTTGAGCAGCATGCGCACTCTCGGCGATGTCGGTAAAGAACGGCTTGTGGTTATTACTGAAGTCAATTGGAAATGTCAATGCGAGTATAACGGCGTCCTAATGGTAGGCATTCGCGTAATACCGCAATATCTCTGGTGTTTCGGCATTGTAGTTTATCGTTCAGACATGCGCCCTCCTCTTTGAAGTACTAGTTGTGTAGTTAATATTCCAGTCTCTAGCTGCAGCTAACCAGCGCGGGCGGGGGTGGATGCGCCGGCCGAGCAGGTTGCGACACAGTGCATCCTACAGGCTCTTATTTGCTACTGTTGTATTATCTCTCAACCAGAGAAGCTCTTACTAATAAGAAAGTCAAGGTTCGTATTATTATTCTCCTCTCCCTCTCCGTGGCCGTCATTGTCACATGAGTTGGCTATGATGTGTTGTGGTGTCGCAGACTGGCAAATCTACTTACCCTCCCGTACAATATGTGTTTCATATTTAGTCATTTAAAAGCAAAAGGGCGTCTGTTTGCAGTATCAGTTCGCGACGTAGTGCACACAACCTCGACGGCACACCATTTCTCGTATAGAAATATGCAAAAGAAATGACCTCGCCTTTCTCCAGTTAGTACCTGTCGCAAAACAACTTTGATGCCGATTTGCTTTGGCAGACTTATGGTTAGCTTAATCCCGTATCTTAATTTATATTGCTCTCAAACGTTGTCTACACAGTCGGTAAGTTGTGAATGATATAAGAAGTTCCGAACTTTCAACTTTTATAAGATAATAGAGGAAAGAAATGGTTACTCTTAGCTTGACTCTATTAAATGATCATCCAACAGTGCAGAAACTGAAGTAAGTAATTTATCTTGTACTGCCTCGTTATGATGTATTACAAAGGCTTCACAACAGAGATCACTCAATGCTGGAAGCTGGTCTTCTGTGTGCCTGTGTTTTACGTGCTATACGACTGCAAGTCGATTGTCTCCTTGCTGACTTAGATCCTTCTAATTCTGTTCAGCTATTTAACGGTTAAAAGACAATTGATGTAAGTTTACCACTGGCCGTGATATCTCAAAAGCTTTCGGATGCATGGGAGAAGTTTTGTTGGGTTACTTTAATTCTGCCTGTGTAAATAAATCCCGGCGTATATTTCCAAAGATGTATGTAGCTTCCGCCGCAGTTAATATCCCAACAGATTGGCAAATATGAGTTCATAGATGCAAGCTGCGTAAACTTCAGTGTGATCCGTGGAGTACAGAGAAAGCTAGTCCAATTGACCTTCGGGGTTTGTGCTGCTGCTCCTACTACTATCACTGTTGCACGACGTACGACAATGTGCTGGGTTGGTAATCCACATCATCCTGTTCTGGTATCACGTGTGTGATGGAGACGTTGTGTCTTTCCTTAAAAAGCGTGCTACAAAGGTTTCGAAGTGCCAGTGCTGGTATAGGTTGAAGAACACAATTGGTGACTTGATGTGTTTCTGGCCTCCTTGGTACCTATTAGGATCCCAGAATCTCTTTACTCTGTCTACGCTATTCAGGTGAGCAGCGGCTTTAATTAGTGCGATTTGAAATCAGCAAAAAATCCATGATTCCAGTGCTGTATTGATCTGTGTAACTAAATTGTCTCATGCTTCGTAGGACCAAGCCATCAGGATAGCAATTCTGCATTCTATATATATGAGTGCTAACCTTTTGCAATTCAGTCCTTTTGTTTATTCCCAATTCATACCGTTGCGGAAAGCTTTTCATTATTTTATCAAACGATCTTTCAGTTTCCTATGACAAACATCTTAGCTCATCTACCCATACAAGACAAAAAGCCACCTACAGAGTTTCCACATAGCAATCATGTCAAAGGTACAAAACCCCCCTTCATGGCTGCATACAGACAAACGTTTGATTTTCAACCCGGAAATGATCGGTCGGATCAAACCATCTTTGGGCAAAGCTGAAGGATATGGCTTGACTCCCGCTGAGCTACAGAAATATTTCGGCATCGACGCTAAGCGCTTCGGGGAACTACCTAAACGTGTAGCCGTCCCTGTTCTTCACGGATACAACATCGAGTACCAATGGTACCGGGTCGAAGGGACTTTATACTTGGTTGAGCCTATTGAATGGATACCAGTCGTGTCTCGTCGTGACACGTATCCTTTATCGGAGGTTGTCACAGAGGTCACGGTAGAAACCGAGGACGCGAGAATAAGTGATTTTGCTGCTGATGCAATGGCTTCCCTGTCTATTTCTGCAGGTGGCTCGTACGCGGGCATCACAGCCGAGGCCAAGGCGTCAACCAGCGTCAGTTTCCGTTACGCCGAGAAGTCTGAGCACAGGAGGAAGACCAGATCAATCCAAGAAATGGGAAAGATTCAGGTAGACCAAATCTGGGTCTACCCCAAGCTGAATTGCAGAATTATTAAGCAGCAGCGGATTGAGTACACCATCGATGAGCCGACCTGGAAAATCAAGATCCCGACATGCAACGACGGCGAATGGGAATCACGAAACATTGACCAGCATCGCCTAGATGAGAGCTATCCAGTGATTCATCCCGTCCCTATGACGGGCAATGGCAGAGGGGACATGGCATGGCTGTGTCCTATCTTCAACCACTCCGAGAATGGAGATGTAACCGACATAAGCACGCTGATGAGTCGTAGCACCTGGAAAAGTTGGTTTTTCTATGACTCTTTTCCGTGGAAGGAACCAGAGGAAGACGAGCAAAAGCACCTCGTTGTTTCCGCCTCCAACAGCGGTATTGCTTTTGGACCAATGGTCTCGTGGATTGCCCTCGTAAGTTTTTGCGCTTGAGACACCTGAAATTTTCGCAACAAGTTTCTGACCAAGATCCCCGCAGAACAAGGAGTAGGAGGAGCATGAAAGTAAATCTCACAATCGTTAGTGCTCTCTCTAGCTTAGAAGCTGGTGATGATTTGCTTTTGTGTATGAATTATACAGTCCCTACCACCGAAACTATAATTTAAGAAACGCAATAGCCACCAGATAATTGGCAGATTGTATGACATCTTTTGTATTCATTCTTTGTGAAACTTCCAAGGATTTTCTGAATTGGCTAACCTCCGTAATGCGTGAACATGTCTTGTTGAAGGATATGGAAATGTCTCGCATCTACTATAACTTCGCGCAAACCCAGTCATAATACGTCATTACCGAAAAACAACCTCCCAGTAGTCTTGGTTTCCTTTGATGGTGAAACTCCGTACTTCCTTGTCCATGTTTCCTCTCGCAAAGTCAATCCAGATACCCTTCATTCTGTCTCCTAACTCCTCTACTGCATGTTGATTGCTCATGCCTCCAAGCATTGGAGCAGCTTTCCATGACGACCAAGAACCGAGGAGGAATGGCAACTCAATGCAGTGGGGTGCTCTCAATGAGCTTTGAATGGGGCGCCAGTTGAAACGATACAGGATTGATGTCCCTCCTGCCCGGCGGTATTCTTTGTGAAAGCCGTCGAGGAACCAGGTGAAAACCTTTCCAATGAACCATGCCGCTATCCATTCAATGAACGACCCAATGAAGGCCAAAGCAAGATACGGACGTAAAGTATCATTCTTTCTGACGAATGGAACTCCTTCATCCTTCGTGTAACCGATCATCATGGGCACCCGCTTTGCCACCTGTGAAATCCTCTGAGCAACGTCCGCTTGGTCTGGGAGTGGTTCGGATCCCATGAGCGGTTTGAATGGTGCGTGTGGCGAACCGTACGATTCCGCCACAAGAAATAACTGCTGCTGTAACAACAGCATATCTCCTGAAGTCTGAGTATTTGAATCGCGATGCACCTCGTCGCGGGCCAAAATACCCAAATCTTTGACCATCTTCTCTCGTTCAGGCGTCCAGTGCTCCAGTGGCGCGCTTTGGATGATGGCTCGGTGGAACAAGCCTTCAGTTCCGTCGGCTATCATGAGGAAGTGAATGGAAGCCGCCCCTGCTGATTGCCCAAAGACTGTGACATTATTCGAATCTCCACCAAAGGCTGCAATGTTCCTCTGGATCCATCGAAGAGCTTCAATCTGGTCCATCAGCCCGAGGTTTGCGGGGGCGACATCCGGGATGGGTTGGAAACCGAAAATCCCAAGTCGGTAAGAAATATTCACACCGACCACCCCACGTTCCACTAGTCCAGACGGTTCGTAGCAGTCCAGATCAGCACCGCCTGAGACATAGGCGCCCCCATGTAGAAATACCATTACCGGACGTTTGCGACCATCAGACAGCGCGTCAACGGTTGTTGTAACTGATACATGTAGACAATCTTCGCTCTGCTCACGCCCGGCTGTGATAGGTCCAGTGACAAAATCTAGCTCAAACGGTACAATTTGTGGACATATTGGTGCAGGCCCGGTGCAGTCGGCGATTTCGTCCCACTTTTCGACTGGTTTCGGCCGTTGAAAACGAGATGCAGACGCATACCGAAGTCCGCGTGCTCTAACCAAATCCCCGTTTGACGCTGCGGATATCTTTCCTCCGGGAAGTTCGATGATTATAGAGCTAGGCATGTTCATTTTGGGCCTTGGGACAAGAGCTACTGGTTGATGCGAGCAGTTTCTTAAAGTAAAATTCCTGTGATGGCTGGCCAGTAGCTCTTCAGCCCATAAACGTATACACTCGGAGAAAGCAATTCTAATTTCAACTTTATTAAAAGCAGTATATGAGAAGCCAATTTTCGTATTTTCTACACAATGAAATCATATGGCAGTCATACGTGCCCGGACGCCCAGTGAGGGTGACGCTACACCCTCCATCTTGTGGGTTCGCGAACCTTGTTTTCAACCCATGCTTTTTTCGTCATTCATTTTCTTCCTATCAATAGAATCGTGCGCCACAAATGCCCGTAGTGGTGCCGTCTGGTGCCAGCTGTCCGGAGGAGGACCAATCATGGCTCACCGAACTCCCCGAATTCACCGACGTCATTCACACTTGGTATTGTTTCGCGCAGCCGCCAGACACATTTTCCCCCAGCAATCAAATGCAAGATCCAGTAAGCGAGGTAACCATAATATTATGAGCAACAGTAATATCTAGACTAATAACTTGAATTGAGTATAGCTTCAGCTTTTCTGGGGTTGACATTAATGATAAGATTAATGTAACGAGCAGATCAGGGCAACCGACTGTGGCACAAAGCAAAAGCTTCGGTAATGATGACTCTGGCATTATTATCCCCTGTTCTGCATTATATAGCTACGCCGGCCAGGTACTAACTGGTTGGGCCGTAACAAGCAACCAATCCTACCTTCCTACAGTCTCACAACGTCGTACAACAAGCCGTAGCAAGGTCCTTCAGTTTTAAGTGTTACGGGTTAGGAAAGACACCAACTTGACTAAACTAACGGGGAGTCGCACTAGTGAGAGGTAAGAAGTGATTCAAAGCTATGTTATTCATTGAGAATCATCTAGCCATACATGATATTCTGTGCCGAATATTTAGCAATTATGGAATATTATTACGACTATCGAAAAGAGCTTGACCTGAAAAGATAGCTATCGGATGAAGTGCTTTCCGGCTATAGAAGTTCTTCAACGTGGATTTAAACCTCTTTGAAGTCGAGTTCAACAGCACTAAAATTACTACACCACATGACAGCTGCCTTGGAAAATGTTGTACACGGTAATGCATTCGCCCCCGAATGGCCCACGCGAAACGGTCACATTAGTAGGAATCTCGGGGCTATATACACCGTCGGGAAATCCTCTACCAATGGCTATGTTCGTGAGGATGAAGTGAAGACTGTGAACCGTCTTCTCCCACACAACCTTTGGAATAGCCGTTTCATTGATTTGGTGGGACTGGATATCATCAACAAGCCATGTCAGCGTCTCAGGGGTATTATGTCTGTCGATCTCGATAGAGTATATGTAAAAGGTACCGTGACAAGCACTTTGGGACCATTACCACTTTCCCCAATACTGACCGACTCATCACACCTCTGGGGTTTGTTCCGCAGTGGTAAACGCCCCAATGGCGATCGATAAGGTTTACATTTTCCATGATGTCAAATTCTCCAATCGGGGCGAATTCCTAGAGCTCTAGGTAGTAACATTTCTTTTTTCTGATGCTGGGTAAAACACACATGTCAGTAATTGCCACGGTACTCAGCGCCCAGAGTCTAGAAAGCAAGCCAGGAACCAGCACCATGGCCATTCAGATCGGGAATGTCAAGACTCCCTTGGATGATTATCTTCCCTCCAGGGTGGGCCATAAAGTCTGTACTCTGGGTCTTATTACGATACGACGTTCAGGATCCATTAGCGCTTCTGGTGGCTGTAGTCTGGAGAATTTTTTTCCATTCACTCGCACGTTTCTGTCGTCATGGTTGTAGGTCTGTATGTCTTCGGTTTCTCATTTAGAGAGGGACCGCCATTGTAAGAGACGCCGATATTAGGAATCCAGTTGTCCGGGTCTGAATGGCTGTTTCAATGGCCTTTGAAGTCATCGGCCGAGGTCAGCGCATAGCCGCCACTTTTTGGACATGAGCGTGGGCGACAGGCAGAACAGAAAGCAGTGCAATGAAAGACCGAAAGCGTACATCTGTGGCACATATTAGCGATGCAATTAAAGCAAGCAATTAAAAAGAAGTGACAAGTCGAGTTGGTCTTGAAAAGAGCGACTGTGTGGGAATGAGCCAAAGGAGCGTAAACGTTGGGAAGTTATAGACATCGAAACGCAAATATCGTAGCATTCCTGATTGTTTTTACTTCAAATATATTCATTATAATATATCCAGGAGATTTAAATGCATTATGTTGAGAAGCCCGGGGCTTCCTCAAAAGCCACCATCTCTGTGGGCGAAACCAGCACAGAACGCTCAGAATGGGAAAAGTGGTGTTGTTGGTTGGAAGAACTAACTAACTGGCTAGAGGGCTGTGGAGGCTGGCTAAGACCAGTGGTGGCGGCCGTCAGCCCACGTGACGGGCCGGCGAGGCCTGCCACCCACACCCCCTCTCAGACTCCTCAGCGAAAAAGCAGTAGAATAATAGGAAATACAGGAAAAGTCCCAAATCCTCCAAATCCGAGGAGTTCTCAACTATTAGAAAACTCGGTCAATTACCGGTTAAACCTGGCCAATAGGAGGCCGTGAAATCCTCCGAATCCCGAAGTCTCAATATCAATAGTCCCACAGTCTCAAAATCCCCCTCTCAATCCAATCCCTCCGCCATGCCCAACAAACGAACGAATTCCTTGTGTTTGACCGCAACCAGTGGCTTCGTGAGTCCATCGGCGGCCATATCAGCGCCCTTGATGAGTCGGAGTTCGATGCTTTTCGCAGTGTGAACCTCCTGTATGATCCATTTGTATCGGACGTCGATGTGGCGGGTTCGTGCCTCGTTGAGTGGGTTCATGACGTTGTCGTAGCCGTTGGCACTGTCAGTGAACATGATAGTAGGCGTGGTGATGGGTTTGCCGAGCAGTTGGGAGAGGCAACGTCTGATCCACTTCACAGCAATTGCCGTAGGTGTGAGATTGATGAATTCAGCCTCCGTGGTGCTCAAAGTCACGAAAGTCTGTTTCTTTGACTTCCAAGCAATCGGCGCACCAGCGAGGAAGACGACGTAACCACCTGTCGAGACTCGTGATGGCTTGTTGTCAGCGAAAGAGGCATCTGCAGCAGCGTAGAGCCCCAACTCGTTGATCGTGGGGATGCCTCCAAGTACAATACCGAGATAAACGGTGCCCTTGAGGTATCGGAATAAGTGCTTAATAGCACGAAGATGGGCCTTAGAAGGCCCTGAATTCGCCTGTGACAATTTACTGACGGTGTAGGCCATGTCAACGCGAGTTCCAGCCACCAGGAAGTTAAGGCAGCCGGTTTGTTCGATGTAAAGTTGTTGTTCGTCAAGCGAGCACTCGTTCTTGTCCCAGGTGACGGGCAGATCGTCAGTGGTCGCCATAGGCGTCTTGACAGCACTCAAACCATCAAAGTCGAATCGTTGAAGCACTGCTTTTGCGTACTTGGCTTGGGAAACGAAAATCTTACCGGCAGCTCTGTCGCGTTCAATCTGGAAACCGAGAAAATCGGTAGCCTCGCCGAGGTCTTTAAGAGAACAGACCTTCTCGAGGAGACGACGAACTTCCATCATGACTTGCTTGTTGGGAGCGGCGATGGCGTTGTCGTCGACGTACATAAGAACGTACGCTTTAATCTTGTGATTGACGAAGAGACAAACCTCCCCATCAACAGCAGTGAAGCCAATTCGTTCCATTTCACCCTTGATAAGTCGAAACCACCAAAGTGGTGATTTTCTCAATCCATAGAGTGCCTTGTGGAGCAGCCAAACCTTGTTGTCTGCAGTGGCGTAGCCAGCGGGGGGCCGGACGTACACCTTAACCCCCTCTGGAATCGAGGCGGCTAGGAAAGCAGTGTCGAAATCATATACTTCGTATTCAAGATCGAGAAGTGCGACAACTGCGAAGAAAAGGCGGGTTGCGGTGGCAGAGGCAACTGCAGCGTAAACCTCTTGCGATGACCAGTCACCTTTCTCGTGGTTTCCACAAACCACATATCGGGCCTTGTAGCGCACGATTTCGTTGTTTTTGTTGGTTTTGATGTCACATACCCACTTGCCGGGCAGGACTTTAGCGTCACGTGGTGGGTAAACGACTTCGTAAACCCCCTTTTCCGTGAATTGAGTCATCTCTCGTTCGAAGGCTTGTTCCCACTGGGGCCACTGTGGGCTCTTCTGCGCCTCACGGTAGGACTTCGGGATCACCACGCCGTCGGGTAGGACTTTCGAAAGGGCAGTAGCAGAAAGCACGCTGAGAGAGAATTGACGAGAAGTTAGTGAAGCTGGAATGTCAGCAGATAGAAAAGTCTTTTTAGCATAGGAGCGTACGCCACTGGCGGCTCGGTAGTGACCAGGTGGTCGCTGGGCTGAGGCGCGGCGAGGTCGAGAGGACTCTGCCGGTTGACTCGTTGCTTCCTCAACAATCGTGGAGAGGGAATCAGGGTCCTGGTGATCAGTTTCCATTGTTTCCACGGAAGCGACGAATTCGTCATCATTCAATTCGTTAGTAATGCTGTCACGAGGTGTAGCAGTGGTCTCCAACAGGTTCTCTGGTGGCGGAGACATGAGATGTGTATCAGTGGGTGCCATCGCTTTTTCAACGATGGTCTCATCTGGTTTGGGATCACCAGTCACGGGTTTTTCACCTTCAATAGGCTTCTGACGGATGGTGTACTGGATGATGATATCTGGTTCGACAAACGCAGCATCATGTTCAATTTCATCAATGTTGGGTGTGCCAGTAGTTGGAGGCAACACTGTCTTGTGCGGTTCCTCACGAAATCGAACATCTCTGCAGCGAATAACCTCCTTTCGATCAGGCAGGTAAACGTAGTAAATGTGGCCACGAAGAGAACCGTAACCGACGAGGAATCCCTTGATTGCTCGTGGTTCCATCTTGGCAGAGCGCATAGGGCGTCGAGGGCCCTTCTTGTGTACGTAGGCAGCACAGCCAAACGTTCGGAGATGTTCAATGTGGGGGGCCTCACGTTCAGCAGCC